CATAATATCCTAATTAAGTTCTATTTCTGTCTAGTTCTGCATGTTTCCTATGACTATTATGCGGGTTCTATTTATTATGTATTGCTATCTGTCGCTGCCTCGGCTGTAAACAACATCCTGAACAGTAGCTTACTTGTTCCCATTTAAACAGTGTTCTGTTGTGGGTGAATACATAACCCTCTCAACATCCTCTCACTTGCTCAATAATCTTCTCGTCTGTTTTGTATCACCTTCCTCAGTCGTACTGGCTCATTTGTCAGTCTCCAGCTGACAGCTTTACTCACCTATCATGTGAAGCTGTGCTCTCAGTCTCTTCCTTGGTGATGTGACTCTGTTCTGCTGCAGTCGTCACTGCTGCTTCTCCTCCTGTCACGTCCGCACCTCCTCCTCCTCCTCCTTCACTGCCGCCTACTCCACCCTGCACTGCTGTGTCTGGAGGAGGTGGGAACTCAGCGCTGGGTGGCCTAAAGAACAGAGATTAGGCCATGTGTCAAACTCCAGTCCTGGCGGGTCACTGCACTGCAGGTGTCAGCATTATAGCTCATTTAACACACCTGATTCAACTCATCAGGTAAACTGCAAATAGCGAGTTGAATTCGGAGTGATAGAAGAGGGAGAACACTGATCTTGACAGAGCTGTGGCCCGCCAGAAACTGAGTTTGACACGCCTGGATTAGATGGAGACTCCATGGGAGTTAAACTCCTCTTTTAAGCTGCTTTGAAGTCATGGCAAGAAGATAATTTCATCAATTTCTCAGCACACCTTAAAATGCACTGACCTCAATTGTTTAGAGGTAGCAAAAACTAATGCTTTTAGGAATATGTTTAAGGAATATTCAGGCATTTTTCAACCTAATCTCGATTTACTCCATCTGTCTCATACCAATTGTTACTATGACAGATATTTTTGATGCCTGTTTACATGAAATTCTCCTACAAGTGAAACCAAGAGATGAGAGAATGTCTTACCGAAACTGCTCTTAAGAAGTTTTATCCAACTGACAGAATACAGCATCTGCCCAGTGGCTAGTTATACTGGCCACTGGCTGTTACACTGGCTATTATACATGTGTTTTTCTGTTGTTTTCAAAATACAGAGAGACTTTACTGTTGATTATTATGGACAGTCAACAGTCATCAGTCTTTAAGGTACAAAAATAGCACAAAATTAGAAAATGGTCTGGTAAAGTCAATTATGGCTGTTTTGGCTGCATAAAACACACAGATGGCTTAAGTGGACCTCAGGAAAAAATAAAATACAAGAAAAATGTAGTATATGGGACTCGTGTCTGTATCCCTACAGCAGTGTGCAACAAGCATATGTAAAACCACCTGCAGCCAATATGTGCCTGATTGTGCTCTAGCAGTCCAAAACCTCCAAGGTGAGTTCTTTCAACGAGGACTGTCACAGAAATGAAAAAATCAAGGATCTGTCCTTGAAACTGCTCTCAAAGAAAAATCCTATTCCAGTAATTTATAAAAGGTAGGTTATGAATGGGAATCTTATTTGAACAGATGCACTAAATGTGTATAAGCTCATTCATTTTCAATATGTCATAAAGATATACTTCCCTAATGTCTCTTCAATATTTTCAGTTGTAAGCAAAGGTCTGATCACCCCCCATAAATGTTTTGTTGATTTTCTAAGTGAAAATAAGCTAACTCATCCTTTACAGAGAACAAACTTAAATATGGCATTTTCTGCAGACGTTTGTGCACAATTTCTATTTATTTGCTGAGTTTGACATATTTGAAAACCTAAACTATAAAATGTGCCGTAACGTTTTGCAAAAGTCACACTTTATGTTTTTTTTTCAGCAAATAAACAGTAATTGTGCATTAAAATGTGCAGACGTGTGTTCTTTGTAGAGGATGTACACCTATGTTCACTTAGAAAATCAACAAAACATGGAATTTGTCCAGGGGTGCCCAAACATTTGTGCACAACTGTGCATAAAAAAAAAAAAACTGAAGATTTTTTGCAGCCCAAGTTGCCACCATACAACATAATTTTAGTGTCTAAACAGCAGATCTAGAAGCCTCCTTTGCAAGCACTTCAGTGCTCTGTGATTCTAGCAGATGTAGCTACTTAATACAGCAGTTGATGGCTTTTATGCAATTTTAATATATAATTATGCCTGATGTTGCCCAAAAATTGCCCAGCTGGTTTGGATTTAGTTAAAAGATCTTAAAGCTGTAATATGTTTGTGCATCTGAGAGACAGAGTGTTTAGATCCTTCAAATGGTGCACATTGCCAGACGCTGTAAATTACAGAAATTACAACATCTGGATTTCATGCCAAACATTTCTATCCAACACAGTGCAGCTCTCAGGCAAAAATCACAGCTTTAAAGAAATACATCACCCGAAAATGCTAACATTACTAACAGCAAACAAATCCCAGTGTGGACCACCTAGCATCTGATCTGCGTATGCTAGCTGGTCCCCACCACTTTTCATTACTAATTAACAGAGTTAGCAATTTTGGATAATGTATTGATTTTGCAAAGCAAAATGATGCTAATTGGCGTTAGCAGCGGCTAATTTGGAATGCTAGCCTCTAATTTGAACGCTTCTGCTTGATGGTTTGTTCTCGTTTTTGCTGTGCTTGCCTTGAGCCGATATTTAGTGCCCAGAGTGAGTTGAGTTTGTAGTGACTGGCGGCCCACCTTCTGGGCAGGGGTGAGCGCCTCAGAGGCTGCTCCATCACCACCTCATTATTGGAGAGAGCTGAGGTCGGCCGCAAGTCCTCCAGAGCCTCCTCCAGCATCAGGGTCCCGGTGGGGATTCTGGACATTGGCTCAATGCTGACCATCACCTCATCCAGGTGTGGGGGCAAAGGCGTGCCCCCTGGGGTGGACATGGAAGCTGCATCACTGAACACACTGTCACTCTGTGGGCAGTCAGAGGGTAAAGGGCAATTTATCATTATGCTATGATTATCATGATTCTATTATGATAGTCATATTAAATATTACACTGCCTGTCAAACATTTGGGGATGCCTATGTTTTTATACAAATGAGCATGTTTAATGTTTACAGTTTGCAGAAACGTACTATAAGTCTAAATACAGTGCTACTTTGGGAATAAAGCCAAAGGCCACACATTTTGTCCCATTTTAATGATGTCAGCACTGATCAGCATTCAAACGTTTCAGGTGTTTAGACTAAGTTTGGGCCAAAAGCGCTTCAATATATATTTTAAACAATAATTTTTAAACAATAATAAGCCTGCTCTTCATACCAAAAGAGACATTTTGATGCGGAGAGTAGTAGTTCGTTAGTAAATAGTGTCACAGGCACATGAAAAAGGCAATGGTGAAATGACTTTGTATTGAAAATATGTTTACGCATCCTCTACCAAGAACACACTTCTGCACATTTTAATGCACACTTACTGTCTATTTGCTCAATTTCACATACTGGGAAAAATACAACACACAGTGTGGTCTGTGCAAACGTTACGGCACATTTTTTTCCCCCAATATGTTAAACTCATAGAAACTCAAATAAATAGAAATTGTGCCCTAAAATTTGTAGAGAAATTGCAGAAAAAAAATGTTCTCTGTAGAGGATTCACTTATTTTCACTTAGAAAATCAACGAAATGTCATTTGACGAGCAGTGTCAAAACGTTTGCATTACACAGCAGCTGTTTTACATTAACAAATATATTTTGGTAACACTTAATAATAACAGGCCCCCTATAAATAGCAACTTAATCATTACCTCATTGTTTGTTATTGATAGCTAATAATTATATAATTGTTAAGCAATTAATAAGAACTATCTGTTGAGTTATTAACCAGTGAAGTGTAATAAGTAATAATATAAATCATTATACATTCATTATAAAAAGCCTTATAACAAGAGTCAAATTAATGGTTAATAATATTTTAAAAAATTCTATATATTTATATATTTATAAACTGCATAATAACGACTAAGCATCAAGTTTATACATAACAAAGTAGCAAGACGGTAAATAATTACTTAATCGTTTAAACAGTTCATCATCTTCATTATTATTAATTGATTTTAGGCAACTAAGTAAATGCTTAACATTTCAAATTATATAATTTATGAGTTGTGAGTATTAAATAATTAAATCATTATTAACAAACTACATTATTAATTAGGATTCTACACTTCAGTATGACTATTTGTATGCCAATAAGTAAACAGTTACAATTCAAGTAGTATAATTTATTCTATGTAACTATTATATAATTATTAACAAGATATTAGATAATGATTACGCATTTTTTTTTAGAAAGTAACAGTAATGAATTCAAATTAAAAAGCAAGTTGTTCTCAAACTTTCTATGTAAAGTGTAAGTCAAGTAAGTGTAGTGTAGCATAATTATGAATATCAAATTATTGATACTTTGTCTAATGTAAGAATATGTTATGCCAAAATAGTCCTTTGATTGTTATATGGTGAGGAAAATGTGACCCACCCTAAAGAACTCCTCCTCCTCTGTCATCTCTCCATCAAACCCCTCCTCCTGCCCCTCCTCCATAGCCATGGCCAGCCGCATCTCTGGGGCCAGATCCTGCAGGGTCCGCAGCCCAGCCTATGCCAGCAGCAGAGTGGGGTTATAGAGAGGAAGAGCAAGAAAACCTTTGTAATTTCATGTTTTTTTGAACCATGAAATTCAGTCTCTAGATCCTGGCGATAATAACATAACATCCAATACACAGTTGCATTAGCCTCAGTCTATCACTCTGGTGAAAACTCACCCAAAGACCAAAAAAAGTGCAATAAGGAAACTGGCCACAGATTTTTTTTTCTGTTTGACATAAATAGCTGACATGTGGTGGGAGACCACTTTGGCACTGCCTATCCAACCATTATTTAAAATTGTTCGTAACCCTTAGGCTTCATTTCTCTAGAATTTTGGAAAAAGAAGGGAAAAAAAACAAAAATAGCTTCTGGCAACAGTTTTCTCAAAAATCACCTCACATATATCCACAACTCACCCTTATTTTATAGCAATGTGACTTGTTCTAAATCAGGTAGTACCTTTTTATCTCCTTGTGCATTTTGTGTGAGGAAATTGGACGCTGTTTGACCAATTTTGATTTCGTCTTCAGATTCTTGCTCAGCAAAGCTTTAAGAACCTCTTGCTTTAATATTTTTCAAAGAAAAGTTTAAAAAATCCATTATGGGAATCAACTGATTTATTTTTTATAACTGTGCACCTGAAGTGAGGCTGACTTGTCCTTTCCCTTCTTCTTCTTTTCTTTCTCTTTCCTTTTACGGTACTTCTTGAAGTAATCCTGGATGAGGAAACTGGCATAGAACTTTCCAGCTGTCACCTCATCTCCTAGGAAAAAAAACGAGAGAGAGATGACAAAAGATAGTTTTGCACATGCACATTTTTGCATATGCAAAAACCCCAACATATACCTACGTAACACTACTTTGTAGCACTGCTAAAATATATACATCCAGATTCTAAGCGTTTCAGAATGTGGTGCACAGTGGATAGTGTAGTTTTTTTACCTGCAGGGGGCGGTATAACTTCATCTAAGAGCTTAGGCTTGGTGCGCTTCCAAATCTTCTTAATAATGGCTCTCAGCTCTTCATTCTCCTGGTCAATCGGTCCTGAGGGAAACCGAGCATTAAAACCAAGCACAAATTCAATTAAGCTGTTGAATCAATCACACAAAACCAAGGTTATTTAGCATTAATTATTTGCTTTAATTTTTAATGTGTTTGATTTTGTTGGCCAGACCAAGGACACTGGTTTGCCACGTGTCCTTGTTGATTTATAGCGGGACATATTTTAACCACCATATTTATGAGTAGTGAAAAGGCAGATGTTTTGAAGGTTACCCTGTAGTGCTCATATGAATAAATGTTATTAGGGTGAATGTGAATGTGAATGACTATGTCTCTGTGTATGCTGACCTTCAGTTTTAATCTTGAGCGAATTCCTCACGAGAGCAAACAAGGTAGCATTGAAGGACACCGTGCCATCGGGATGGAGTGGCACGTTCATAGCAACCAGCCTCTGCAGGAATTATGGGATGGGAGAGAGTGAGAGAGAGAGAGAGAGAGAGAGAGAGAGAGAGAGAGAGAGATTGTAATAGGATTTCTGAGGCAGGAGGAGGACACTGAGAGCTAAATACAGTTGACAGAGTGAGTGTGTCAGCGGCTTGCTGGGTCTCTCAAACAACTGCAGCTTTGGTCGCCACGCTGGTTCCCTCATATGTAAAAAGTAAACTTAACTTTTCCTGGAACTGTACTTTTATTGTGTTGTTTTATATAGCCAACACTATAGCAATAGGCTGTACTACTTACCCTACAGGCAACTCGATGAGGACAGAGTTTGCCAAAGCCCAGCGGTGGCTGAATTCTGCGTAACATGGTCACAACATCCAGGTGCTTAATTCTTCCTCTGCAACCAAATACATATACATAAACACTATGCCTTTAAAATAACTATGTCTTTATATGTTTGTATATAACAGAAATGAACTCATAAGCTGCTGTAAACTGTTATACCACATTACTTAGCTTTGTTACTGTTTATTACAGTGGTTGTTTTTTCTCATAAATTTATATATAGACAGTTGAAGAGGTTTCTTACGTGGCTTCTGGATCATAGTCTGACCACACTCTCTTAAACTCATCCAGATGGTGAGTGCCCAGCACTGTCCAGTCTCTGGTCAGATACTCAAAGTTGTCCATGATGACAGCAATAAACAAATTAATGATCTGAAATGTGAAGATGAAATGTGAAGTGTGAAGTGTGAAATGTGAAGATACATGTACTTGGTTATAATATATGGATCATTCTACCCAATTTGGTTCAAAGTCAGAGATGAAAATCCATTTGAGACTTTTAACTGACTTGGACTTTAGAGTAAAATCCTTTTAAAGCCTTTATGTCAGTATAATGTCATCTACTTCAAAAACATCTTATGACATCTTACGATAACTGGCATAAGCGGAATATCCATAAATATTTAAATACTGCTTTAGAAAAACATGGTTCAAAGCTTATGCTTGTGTTATGAAGTCCCTATGAGCATAGCCTTCCATAAAGTGTTCCCCAAAAATTTTACTCTCTCTCTTTTTCACTCACCAGAAAGGCGCAGAGAGCGAAGAAGCTGATAAAGTACAGGTAAGCAAGGTTACTTCCACAGGTGTACTCCTCTCCCGGCTCAAAGTCCGACTCGGGGTCACACCGTCGTCCCGGCAACGCTGCCAGCATAATCTCCTGCCACTGCTCTCCTGTTGCACATCTAAAGTAGAAAAGGAGAGTCAACGTGTCAGTCAGTGCAGTACAAAGTCATTATTAAAGGAATAATTCAGGGTATTTTGACTATCTGACTCATTTGTGACACATGGAAAATAAGCCAGTTGTGACAATAAGTTTGTCATGTTTCTCAGTACTTGAAAAGTATATAGCAGCAGTGGGCAGCACAGCGAAAATTTATATCATAGCATAATTAAGATTTTCTGATGGCTTCAGTATTTATCATGGCATAGTCTGCTTATGTATATTTTTCAAATAAAACCGTTTTGGATACTTAAGTAAACCTAACAAAGACATATAATTATGAAATGGCCCTTTCACTTTTAATAAGAACCATTTTCAAGCACTTAATATTACAGACATTCACGTTATCGGTATTAGTTGAAAAGCTATGGTGCCTCTTGGCTTGTAGCAAGGACCAGGAGACCTCAGTGTCCTTTGAAGCAGCTGGATGAGCGAGTCATGCCGTAGGCGGTGCACACGGAAAGACAGCTAGTCTCCACACAAGGCTAAAGGATAACAACTAACCCCAAGAGACTGGCTTTTCCTTCCACTTTCTTTTCCCTGTATAACTCATTGACAGATTATAATCTACTTCTTCAATAGCAAACTGGACTAACCTACTTTAGACTGAAACTCTCTACACAAGAGGTGTTTTGCGCTGTAGCTATGTTGCATTATGTGCAGAATAATTTCAACTGGTAAACCGGATGAACTGATAAAACCCCAACTACTAGTGTATAGTGTTGAGCACAGAGTGCAACTCAGTTTCAAATTTGTATGTTCACATATTTTAAACATTTATTCATGGAACTGCCCTTGCCCTATTTTATAAGTGTATTTCCAGTCAATGTATTTCCAGTCAATGAGTCTTCTTTTCTTTTCTAAGTAGAGGGAATCATGTCAAAATAATTGCAAATGATGATCAATCATACGCTAAAGAAGTGATTGAGCAGAGGTTGAAGAAAGGTGAGGTGTTCCTTAGCATACATATATGAGTAGCATACAACAAAAACTGTAGAAAATGGCATAAGGAGAGTTTGATGTGATTTTAATTGTAATAGCAATAAGATAACAGCTCATCCTCACCTGAAGAGCAGCAGCACTGCCATGAAGAAGGTCTGAAAGTTGTTATTCCGATTGAGCTCTGTGCTGTCATCTATAGCAATCTTCCCAAATATCTGTCATTGAAGCAGAGAGTAAAAAGTGTTAAAGAGATAAGAAAGAAAGCAGAAGAGGAAAGAACCAAAAAAGAGAAAATGACAAAAAATGAACATGCCTGCATCCCAATTACACCATAAATGAAAAAGATCATAGCAATGAGAAGGCCAACGTAAGGTAAGGCCTGGGGGGGAGAAGATGCACAAATAATAAAATTCAAAATAAATGAGTGGCATCAAAATGTACAATTGTAAAAACTGCCGATACACTTTTCGAGATCGTTTTAAGTTATATGTAGAAGACTTGGAGTTTAAAACAGACCTGTAAGGATTTAACAAAGGTCCAGAGAAGAGTGCGAATGCCCTCCCCCTTGCTGAGCAGCTTGACCAATCGCATGACTCGGAAGAGACGGAAGAACGTGATGGACACCTTCGAACTCTCTCCATCTCCCTTCCCCTAAGAAAGAGACATGGTCATAAACAAGAGATAAACACATATAGCATTTATGTGAATCCACAAACTGAAAAAATATTCAGTCAAAGTTCTTCTTCTTGTCTTTCCATTATGTTTTTTTCTACGCACAATTTTTTGTTGTTTTGGCTGCCAATGCTTGGCTGCTATTCAGAGAATCAACTATGCTATGCAGAACATCTAATCAGACACTGGGTGTTACTCTTTTGCACACTATTTTCATCTTTTATCCTGAATATTTGTATTAAATAACCGCCATAAATGGAAGCTGAGTTTGTGCTGAACATGTAACTGAATGATAGTGAATGAACAGTCAGAAATAGGAAGATATGCCTTGGTGGCCGCTTTTAGTCTTAGATCTTACAGGACTAAACGTGAAGTTCCACTGTTTTTTCAAAATGTATACATAATTCTGTCACTGAGATGTGAAATGGTACATTGTACAGAAACTTATGGATTCTTTATACTAGTGGTGTCTAATTCCTATTTATCATCACCACAGCTAACAATTCAGACTGCAAGCTTCTTTCTAATGCTGTATTTCACATCAAACCACTCTGAATGACTTAACCATTTAAATATGCATTTTGATAAATCATTAGGGTGCTGAACTCCACTGATCAAAAAAAAATCAGTATAATTAAACAGTCAAGACTTAAACAAAGCCATTCAGAGTGGTTTGATGTTTAATGCTCTGTTCTATATTCAGAATTGTTCACGGTGGTGGTGATAGGAACCAGACGTCTGAAGAGTTTAATGCTTCTAAACGCTCCCTCACTGAGAGTTATTACATGAACCACGTATGAATACCCTGAGACATTCTGATAGTTTTAATACACGGTATTGGCTTGAAACATATTTTTTAAAACTTCTTTCATAGTATATGCAGGGCATGGCGGCAAAATAGTCCCAAAAGAACAGTTATTTTAAATTGACCACTATTTCACTACTACCCACATTACATGTAAAAATCCAGAAGATGTCTAGGTTTACAGGTCACTTTGGACTGTAAATAATCACCACCATTGGGAAAAAGAGTAAGTAACTGTCTCTACATGAACAATTTCACATCATCAGCACCTCAGAGACAGAATTACAGAATTCTGAAATATATAAATGAATTCCCCTTTAAGAACATGAAATAGCTATCACAAGATAATGGTTAAGTTTTAACATGACAAGTTATATTGTCATAGAGCAAACACTTACCTCTCCATGACCTCCTCCACCCTGAAAGAGGGACACAAGGTTCCAGAAACATGGCAGAGAAGGAAAAGAGATGAGAAAGGGGACTGAACAGAACACTGCAGAACACTGTAACCATGTGTTAAAAATGTGAAGGATGAATGCAGTAGCAGGGGAATCAATGTGGCACAGATGCCTCGACCTAAAGAGACTTCAATAACTTGAATTATTATAAATAAAAAACAAATAGCAAAACATATGAACAAACAAATGTAGACAAGGCTGTGTATCAACTGCTAGCAGGCTGAAATACTCACACTAAACTCTGCAATCATGATATCCACCAAACTCCCCACCACTATCAAAGCATCAAAGGAATTCCAGGCATCTATAAAATAGTGCTACAGCACACAGAGAGGAAGAGAGAATGTGAAAGACAATAGAGAAAAGCCATAAACATCACTGCCTGTGTACTGTACTGTTCACGTCTAGCAATGAAGAATATGTTATACCATTAAACAGGCATTTCAAGCCATTGTGAAGCAAAGCGTGTCTTACGTATGGCCGCAGAGCGAGCAGTTTGATGATCATCTCAATGGTGAAGAGTGTGGTGAAGATCATGTTCAGGATGTCCATGACAAAGTTAAACAGCTTGGACTGCTCATAGTGCTGTTTGGATAAAGACATTTAAACATTCACACTCATCTCCTGAGCTCAGAAAGTAACGGACTAAATAATTAAATCTGTAGCTTCATACTACGGTTAAGACACATGACAATATTTTATCGTATCTTGATAAATTACATCACAATATGTCACAATATACTTTTCTGAGCATGTAGTGGATTTCATTAGTGCTTAAAAAACACTGCCCAACTGCACACTTCATTACAAAAGCATAATCAGTCCTCTTTAAGTGAAATTAACTGCAGCTCAGTATGTATTATGTTATATAGGTGACACTGTGGCATTGCTGGTGCATTCTGTCTGTTCCAACCCATCTAACCCCAAAAAATATTGCAAAAATGTCTTCAAAGCCTATGTGTATTATCTGTTAACAGCTCTGCACTGTACCAAAAAGTTTGAACACACCTACTCTGAGAACACTCACCTCCTTTTACAATATACATATCAAAACTTAAAAAATAACACATATGTAAATACAAAAAGACCAATAATTGAGCAAATCAAAACTCTTTTCACTTGTAGATTCTTTTTTTGGTATTCTCTTAAGCAGCTTCATGAGGAATCACCTAAAATGATTTTCTGACAGACTTGAAGAAGATATGCTGAAAGTTTGTTTCAAAATTAATTTTAAATGGACCATTTGTGCTGTGAATATGAACTCATGCACAGACATCCACTTTTATATGATCAACTTTTACATTATTTCTATTCGTCCTAAGCCTTTACATCAAAATGTCATGCAAACTTTTTTTTATTCTTTTTTTGGGGAATAATTTTTCTGCTTTTCTTCCCTATTTAGTCTTTGCTAGTTCCTCCTGCTGACTAGGTCTCCCTCAGTCACACGACTCTACTAAGCTGAGAGGCTGAAGAGTAGCATGTGCACCTTCTGAGACATGTACGACACCACCGCATCTTTTCAAACTTAGCTCAACATGATGCTTAGAGGAGATTGCTAACTGCCAATTCTGTTACTTCAGCTAACAGATGCCTGCATTGGCTCGCACTGCGCTGAGAGATGTGGAAGAGTTAGGATCATCCTACCCACAAGACAGAGATCAGTTACGCTGTCTTGAACAGCCAGACACGGATGACTGTGGCATCACTGGGGATCATGATAGAGCCAACACTTAGACAGCTGTGCCACTTGGGAGCCCGTGTCATCCAAATGTTTTGACTGGTACTGTAATACGTGCATGATTTTGAAAGCGTGCAGCAAGTATGTGTGCGTGTGCGTGTGTGTGTGTGTGTGTGTTACACACCTGTACAGCCAGCGTAAGTGTGTTGAGCAGAATGAGAACAAACATAATGTACTCAAACTGAGAGGAGTTGACGATCTTCCAGAACTTTAGCTGTGACGGGTTTTTGGGTATGTAGATCTTTATAGGTTGAGCTTTCAAAGCATAATACACACACTGCCTCTGTAGATTGAACAAGACACACAGAGAGAAAAAGGAAGAGTAAAGCTCAGGGCATATATGCTACATTCCTATACAGTTTATGAATTGTTCATTAATTAAATGTTAATTCAGAATTATGGTAAATAAACATTATGTGACTTATCAAATCAAGTCTCAGCTTAAACTGATTAATACTGACTTGATTTTTGTTCAACTCGCAGTTTTTGAACTCGGCCTCTCCCTGTTCACGGAACGTGATGATGACGAAGCCCACGAAGATGTTCATCATGAAGAAGGCAATGATGATGATGTAGATGATGAAGAAGATGGAGATCTCTACACGGTAGTTGTAGATGGGGCCTCTGTTCTCAGCATTGGCATCAATAGCTTTATACAGAAGCCTGAAGGTGAGAACATTTGCACCAAAATAGTTAGAATACAAATCTCAGAGAAAAGTTTTATTTTATTAGGAAAGAGGTGCAAATCTGATTCAATTACTATTCTTTAGTAAACAATTCAGTGCAGCATGAAATCTCTAACTGTATCATGTTTAAATTATTTTGGTACGAATAAGACAGACAATAAAAATAATACTGTTTTCATTGGAAAACAATCTGCAATCTCATACTTTTTTGAATGATCCGCAACTGATGCAGTTAAGTTGTACCCTTCAGATCGATGTGCCTACAATAATAGTGCATATGGTAATAATGAACGTTCTATGAACTCACTGAGGCCAGCCTTCAAATGTCGAGACGGTGAAGAGAGCTAGCATCCCCATCAGCACGTTATCAAAGTTAAAGTCACTGTTCACCCAAAACCTCTCCTTTACCATGGGGTGATTCATATCCCCATCCTTATACACCACAAACGTGCCCCTGCACAACATATAGACAGTTATTAGTAAGCAGCATGTTAAGGTATTACATTGAAATATATAAGACAAATAGAACTAAAGGTTTCATTTTCATTTATTTTCATTTAGTCTATAACGGATTTTAGTTGTTATGTTTTTTATGTTTTTATATTATTTTTTATATTTCTTACACTTTTTCTACAAAGATTTGTTTTGTAGATTTAAATGACCAGTATGAACTAACATACTTGCACTCTTCTGGTGTGTGTTTGGCCTCGTCTGTGCACCGATAGAAACGACCCTGCAATAGCAAACAGCAGCCACATTAGACCTGCTGCAGTGTTCTGCAGGCTTTGTGAACATGTACTGAAGTGAAATATTAAGATTACCTTGAAGAGCTGCACGCCGATACAGGCGAACATGAACTGAAGGAGAGTGGTGACAATGAGGATGTTGCCGATGGTGCGGATAGCCACAAACACACACTGGATCACGCTCTGGGAAAAGAAACATGAAATCAGAACTCAAACTGAGAAACACTGAGCTTGAAGACATCAAATGTTAGATACATGTAAAGTAATAGTTTGGTAACAAATCAAATTTACAGAATTTCCCTAACAATCCAAATATAGTTGATCAACCAAGACATGTTTGGCGTCTGAAGTTTATTTCTTTAGTATTGCACTGGAGCTATGAGGCTAATTTTACTAACAACAAGAATGTACAGAAGTACAGAAATCAAAAATCAGGTTTCAAGATGGCTGCTACAATGTTCTTAGCTGTGCAATGAGTTGTTGTCCAATTTTATAGATAACAGTATGAATACAGTGTCAGAAACCACAAAAGCAAGTCTATTTGTGATTACTTAACGACTCGATATGGTTCGAGGCAAGTGTGTGATGCCTAAATCCTAAACTTAAAGCTCATAGTCCACCAATCAGGCATTCAGCCTGCACAACACTTATGGGTGGGGTACTTCCATCACTTTGTAAATACATTAGATATAGTCAGATATAATCATTTCAGTAAGTTGCAACTCTACCTTCAGTCCTTTGGCGCGGTTGATGGCTCGGAGTGGCCTGAGCACTCGCAGCACTCTCAAAATCTTCACCACGGAGATAGCACTCGAACTAGAGAAAAGTAGCAAACAGTCATCAGAGCAAAGAATACGGGGAGGAAGGAAAGACAGATAGATGGACCGATGGAAGGATGGATAGGTAAATGGATTGATGGATTAATAGATGGAAGGATGAACGAGTGGATGGATGAATGGATAGGTAAATTGATGGATGGATGGATGGTTTGATGGATGGATCAATGGATTAATAGATGGGAGGATGAACGAGTGGATGGATGAATGGATAGGTAAATTGATGGATGGATGGATGGTTTGATGAATGGATTAATAGATGGGAGGATGAATGAGCGAAGGGATGAATAAATAGGTAAACAGATGCATAGATGGATGGATGGATGGATAGAGGGGTAGCTGGACATTTAGATGGAGGGATGCAGAATTGATGGATAGGTACAGAATTGATGGATAGTTGGATATACTGATGCTAAATGGATGTATAGTTGGATATACTGATGCTAAATGGATGGATAGTTGGATATACTAATGCTGAATGGATGTATAGTTGGATATACCGATGCTAAATGGATGGATAGTTGGATATACTGATGCTAAATGGATGGATAGTTGGATATACCGATGCTAAATGGATGGATAGTTGGATATACTGATGCTGAATGGATGTATAGTTGGATATACTGATGCTAAATGGATGTATAGTTGGATATACTGATGCTAAATGGATGGATAGTTGGATATACGGATGCTGAATGGATGGATAGTTGGATATACTGATGCTGAATGGATGGATAGTTGGATATACTGATGCTAAATGGATGGACAGTTGGATATACTGATGCTGAATGGATGGATAGGTGGATATACTGATGCTAAATGGATGGATAGTTGGATATACTGATGCTGAATGGATGGATAGTTGGATATACTGATGCTAAATGGATGGACAGTTGGATATACTGATGCTGAATGGATGGATAGTTGGATATACTGATGCTAAATGGATGGACAGTTGGATATACTGATGCTGAATGGATGGATAGGTGGATATACTGATGCTAAATGGATGGATAGTTGGATATACTGATGCTGAATGGATGGATAGTTGGATATACTGATGCTAAATGGATGGACAGTTGGATATACTGATGCTGAATGGATGGATAGGTGGATATACTGATGCTAAATGGATGGATAGTTGGATATACTGATGCTGAATGGATGGATAGTTGGATATACTGATGCTAAATGGATGGATAGTTGGATATACTGATGCTGAATGGATGGATAGTTGGATATAATGATGCTAAATGGATGGATAGTTGGATATACTCATGCTGAACGCATTGATAGTTGGATATACTGATGCTGAATGGATGGATAGTTGGATATAATGATGCTAAATGGATGGATAGTTGGATATACTCATGCTGAACGCATTGATAGTTGGATATACTGATGGTGAATGGATAAACGTATAGCACTTACTGCAGAAAGAAAGATATCAGGGACACGCTGACGACCAGTAGATCTAATAGATTGAAGGCATTTCTGCAGAAAGAGCCAGGATGAAGGAAAGCGCCATATACCGTCATCTACAATCACACAGACAAACACAAAAAACAGTTCATACATCAATATTGTGTCTAATAATTTCAAGACCACGGAGAGTTTCATCAGAGTTTGACGAGAGTGAATAAACAAAAAAATAAATAAATAAAAAATAAAATAAATTTACCCATTTCAAAATATTATGTGCACTTGCTCACACAAATCTAACGACACTGAGCGTTCAGTCAGGTTTACCTTCAGTATGATCTCAATGGTGAAGACAGTGGTGAAAACATAATCAGCATAGCCCAGCATCTAGGTGAAGGTGGAATGACAGAAGGAAGAAGTAATTACAGCAGCAAGTAAGACAGCACAGCGAATTAATTCATTTAAATTCATTCATGGCAAGGAGGTACATGCAGGGTGTTGTAAAGCAAAGAAGTCCACAGAGAAAACATTTTTATCCAGATTTACCACAATTTTAGTATATTCAACATTACATATAACAATTCAGAAGACACTGCAGGTTCATTGGTGGTTTTAGATAGCAAATAAAATGGCTATATTTGGATTTCGGATATCATGACTTCTGGTTCCTATCACCACCACTGTAAAGAAAATATGTTTCAAATTACATCAATAAGGTTTTTATACAATGTACCATTTAACATTTAAGCACTCTGAATGACTGTTTACATCTCACTGATTGAAGTATGCAGAGATTTTGAAATGGTGGAACATCCTGGAGGAGCTCAGCTATAAGGCGATCAAAATCTTGTCTAAGGGGGCCAGTAAAAATTTCTCTTTTCTTCAAAACATGATCCTTGTCCTGTACAAGCTTTTGCTGACTTACGACATTGCGGACAGAATGGGTTTTGATGGGGTCTTCTGCAGCCAGAGAGAAACTACTGAGGATGATGAAGATGAGGATGAAGTTGGTGAAGTAAGGATGGTAAATGAGGTTGTGACAGGCCACTCGGAGGCTGGACACACATGAAATCAAGGGAATGGTCAAATTCAAGGTCAGCGATAACAAACTAATTTGTGATAGCTGTTGCAATTATTGCAATTACTATCAGCTGCTGTATAAAATATATTAAGATTTGATCACTTACCAGTTTTTCTTCCCAAGGATGAAAAAGGAGCTGCCATCAGGAATGGGGACGATTTTCTCTTTAGGTTGAAAACTTTCCACTTTCATTGGAACGCTACCTTAAGAGTGAAAAGCAAAAATAAGAGTGTAAATCAGCCAAATGATTTAATGTTTGCCACTGAAACTTTGATGAACTGTCAGCTTCAGATGTTCATCAGTGATAATTACATTTCAGACTGTTTTAGTCCTGGGGGCAGCACTAAGACTGTAGCATCTCTTTTAGTAAACAGGAAACATCAACTTTATGCTGTTCCATTACTGAACCACCAAACGTCAACCGTCATTTACATCTACATCTGCAGTTAACTTTCATCCTGGCTGAATTTACCCTCTAGACCCTCAATCGCTCTCAACTCTTCATTCTCCTCCCAGTCATCCGCCTCATTCTGGAGAGAAGGAAAAAGAGGGAGAGCGGAAAAGCAAAGAGGAGAAAAAGGAACAGAAAACATAAAATGAGACCATCGGCAGCTGATAGCAGATACGACAAAAGAAACACAACAATAGAAGGTCTTACTCCAGCCTCATCTTCCTCTCTGTCTTCATCGTCCTCCCACTCCTCCTCTTCTGGCTTCACCTCCCTTTAAAACAGATCAATTTAATTCTGAAACTGTCTTTATGTCACTCAACTGCTAATCCTATTTATAATTAACAAGTAATTATTAAATAATTAAAATAAAATATTAGTTAACATTATGATGCTGAATAAAGTTGTGTAAAAACTGTTCAAAATCATGAAGAAAACTAAGAATGTCTATGTCAATTGGAAGTACTTCTTTATGTGGTGCAAAAAGTATAGTAGTTTTGTCACAGACTATGCATTATTCAGATTTTATTAAAGATTAATATGTGGGAAGGCGTTTACTGTTTTTTCTTTTTGCTGCCACTTCCGGCCAAGTTGTCCACTGCGATAGCCAAAAAGACATTCAGCAGGATGTCTGGCAACAGTGCAAGTAAAGGGCACAACTCAAAAATCAGTTATCAGTTTTGTCTAATTCAGTATTAAGTTGCATTAATACTTCCACAATGACTAGTACTAATTTCCACTCCAGTTGAACCCTGTATAAAAATATGACAATTAAAAATATAAATGTAAAAAAGAAAAATGTAAACCACAGATTTTAAACCTGGCTACTATATTTAAATGAGAAAAGCTACCTACTTTTCCTAAATTATTTTTCATCTTCTTTATTGCCTCGTCTTAAACATTTCCTATTATAAAACAAACAGCCATTTAGTGTTAAAGTGAAAACCGAAGATAGCTACTGTATTAAGTATGACAATCATGTCAGTTAATGGGTTACAAACTAATGCTAGCAATCTTGGTTTCTAGTGGCAATTCTCGCTGCCCACCTGCTCAGATATAACCTATATTCTGAAGCATTTTGCTGCATCTTCCTTTAGCTGCACTGAATTTGAAGCTTAGAATTAGAAGCTTAGAAGCTTTGAATTAGGCTAAATTTAACCTACTGTACTAGACTCATGAGCTGACCATTTATCCACTCCGACATCTCTCGAAAGGATACAGTTACCACATACGAAGAGAATTACAAAGTAGATGCAGACGATCATGTTGGGAAAAACAGGCCCACCGTACGCCATGATTCCATCATACATCACTGAGTTCCAGTCCTCTCCAGTCAGAATCTACAGCAAGAAATTCACACTCATAACTTTAACAGTACAACTGTTCAGACTGTAAAATTTTAACTGATACGTTCAATTTATGTTTATATTGGAACAGAAAAAAAAAAAAGTTGTTGTTGAGCGTACAATCATTTGCATTGTTTACATTCAGTGTTGACATCAACCCTGTTGACACAGGATGTAAATCAAACATAAATGCAATTCACAATGTAACTACCTCTGTAATTAATGTTGTGACTGTATAATTTAAATTGAAATAATTATGAACTGCAAATTGAATGTACAGAAAAGACAATAACAACTCGACCCCAGGGCTATAAAATTCATAATCATAATTATGTCCATGGCTATTACATTTATATGGCATTCCTGTTTATGCACAACACATTGCAGAGAAGTTGTGGTGATTGGACCTGGCTAAAACAGCACAACAGAGGTAACAGAGACAACTTCTAGTGACATTTGCGATAGCCTGGCAACGGTGACGGTTACCTGGAAGCAAGTGAGCAGGGCGGAGGGAAAGGTGTCGAAGGTGCTTCTCTTCATCTGAGTCTCGTCGAAGTTGAACTTGCCTCCGAACAGCTGCATGCCAAGCAGAGCGAAGATGATGAGGAAGAGGAAGAGCAGCAGCAGCAAAGAGCAGATGGCCTTCATCGAGTTCAGCAGAGAAGTGACCAGATCTGAGAGAGCGGCCCAGTGACTATGAGACAGAGAGAGACAGAGAGAGAGAAAGAGCGCGATGCTAGTCAGTGCAGGCGTCTGTTGGCTGATGTAACAGATCTGGCGGTCGGTGCTTTCCTCTGAGTGCATTCGGCTGTCCAGTGATGGTGCGTAAGCGGCAGTTTGAAAAGATGCGGTGGTGCTGCACAGGTCTCAGAAGAAGCCTGTGCTAGCTTATGCCCTCCTAGCACTGGTGGTATTGTGTGATTGAGGGAGTCCTAACTAGTGGGTGGAACTGGATATGACTAAATTTGGGGAAAAAATTGGGGAAAATCCAAAAAATGGATATAAAAAATATTGCATATCAGCATCGGCCCAGAACTCCCATACCTACCCTAAAAACTGCATACCTAAAACAGCATTAGCAGCCATCTGGAAATGTGAAATTTGTCAGTATGGATAATACAATGTCAGACTGTGTCAAAACTAAAGAAGCAAACTTGACACTGACTTGGCTGATGGCCTGATGGCAACAAAGCAAAAAGCTGCTCAAACTGAATTTCTCATTGAATTAGCACTTTAAATCAAATCAAATGTAAATTAGCTGTTTTTTATTGTATGACTATAAAATATGGGCAAGAAACCCAGCCAAAGAACAATAAACTGATTATGATCATATTATGCTAAGGAATAGATCACTGACTCACCGGGTGACTTTGAAGATTCGGAGCAGGCGGACGCAGCGCAGCACAGAGATGCCAATGGGTGGGATCACATCCAGCTCCACCAGCACTGTCTCTAGTATCCCACCACAGACCACGAAGCAGTCAAAACGATTAAACAGGGCTGTGAAGTAGATCTGGAAGCCGAAGCTGTACAACTTCATCAGCATCTCCATGGTGAACAATGCCAGCAGGATCTTATTGGCACGTTCTGAGGAAAACAGAGTAAATCTTTAAAATGGATAAAGTATTTTTGTCTATTTTTATACATAGCATTACCATGGAACTCCAAACAGAAGCTCCACATTTATTGTTTGGTCTGTGTGTGTGCGTGTGTGTGTGTGTGTGTGTGTGTGTGTGTGTGTAAATGTAAACTGTGTGTTAATGAATCTTCACATACCCTGTATATCAGTGAGCCACTGTGGCTGGCCGTAATGCTCTGAAGCACTCGCGGCTGTGTTGAGAAACACCAGCAGCAGCACCAGCCAGTAGAAGTTGCTGGACTTCACCGCCACCCGACAGTTCTTCCTTATGACCAGGTTCAAATGGTACAGCTGCTCACTGAACAACAAGAGAGAAGAGCAGTCAGTGAAAACAGAAGGTGGGAAACGATGATGTCATACAACAAAAACTGTGACGAAACTGAAGTGTGAGTATACACGTTTGACTTACCAGAAACTTATAGCCATCAGCTTTGCCCTAAAATAAAAGAATAAGACTCAATCAGCTTTCAGGTCTATTATTATAGCATAGCTGCAGCAAAAAAACAACAACAACAACAACAAATAACCTACATATCGTCACTGTCAATGTGTAAATCCTCCATCTCTATTTTTGTTTTTTACATAATCTGAAAAGAGCAGCTGTCATTCACATTGTGTAAAAATTAAATGGACAAACAGAAACGGTCCAAAATTACGTTATATTAATTCAATTAAATTACATTATAAGTTGAGAATTTTTATCCTTCTCTTTAAAAGGATATCAGAGATTTTGGAGACGCAAGGTTTTATTTTGACAGCAAGTTTGAAATCACTCGTCATATTCTTATTATTTAAATCTGTCAGATTGTAAAGGATAACTATATTTAGAATATATGTTTCACAATACTTCAAATACTTGGGAAAACAGGAAGTTATTTAATGCATATCTTGATGTACAGCTTATCTGAGTAATTTAGAATCATCTATAGCTCTGTTCATCAAGTTGTACAGGACCAGCATATTAGAATCATTTTATTCATGTTTCTGCATCTAAATTGGTTTTATATTATTGAAAACACATTTTATGCTTTTGAACATTGATTTGAAACTTTTAATTAGTACTATATTATATACTATAATTATAAAATAATGTAAAATAACAAATGATTGTATGTTACTGTATAGAAGCGCAGCAGCCATTGTCATCATCCAGGAAAGCCTCAAACTCTGAGTCTGAATCCGATTCTGTGAAAAGATTGTATCCAACATCTACATTGAACGATCTGGTTTATCCAAAGGACAAACAAAAGCTAAATGATGATGAATGAACAATGACAATAATAAATTAATAATGCTCTTTGAGAAAGAAGAATAATTTTAAAATAATATGTCATTAATTTAAGAAAATATTGTCAACATATCAAAATAATGAGATCTTGAGATTTTTTTCCACTATATATATATATACAAACTCTGTCATAATATATGTATATAACACAGCACAAAATGTTAGTAGATCTGAAGAACCAGAATAATTTTCTGTATTAATAAAGTTGAAAATGAAGAGCTTTCATAATACCTCCATCTTCATTGTGTTTATACCAGCCGTATTTCTTCATCATCTTTTTCTTCGCCACCACAGCACCTTTAAATGAATTTGTAGTTGAAGTGAAGTGAGACCATAAGAATTTAACACAGTTTCAGGTGGGCGTGCAGTGATTTATGCTTGTAGTTCACACAATGTAGGTAATGTAGGTAACAAGTGAGCTTCTATTACTTGTTACTTACATTAACCTTGTAGCTCCAGTTTGTGCTTAGTGCTGTATTTTATCCAAACTATATCTTGTTTTGTGCATGTATGTGTGTGGTGGCTCACGTTTATTGCCATCTTCGTCCATGTCCTCAGCCTCAATGAGCCAGTCCATGTAGCCCACCATGTCCTCTTCCATCTGCTGCTTCTCCTGAGCCTTCTGCAGCTCTCCACGACAAACAGCCTTCTCTCTTTCCTTAGAGAACTCACTGAACACACAAATGCAAGAATATCATCCAAAGCACACTCATCAATTCAGTCAAATCTGACTGTTCAATTGATTGCAAAACTCTTTCTTTCTGAGTCAAGCCTCCCTTAATGTTGCTACATCCTTCAAACATTTATCTCAGACAATCTGGTAGGATCTGCAGTGCTTGTTATAATAAAAGTAGCGCAAAGGAAAATTCAGAAGCACACAGATAAGTACATCTGAAACGTGGAGTTTTTCCTTTGCCTGATAAAGGAGGGAACGTTTAGAGAAACTGTGATTGGCTGAGAGGCATGTGTATCATAGTTTTGCAAAACGGTCAGATGGAGATATCATGCTGGCCTTCTGCAAAACAGACAAGTATATGAAAGCTTCTCACCCGCTCAACACACCCAATACAAGGTTCAGGACAAAAAAGGAGCCAAAGATGACCAGAGACACAAAGTAAATCCAGGGCAGCTCAAAACCAATTGCATCGTTCATCTGGAGGGAGAAAGACAGAGAAAGAAAGAGAGCGAACAGCAGATTAAATACAAATGATGTAATATGGAGATCTGTTTTTTCACTTATTATCCTTTTTAATATGCTTAAAGTGATAATTTGGCAAAAAAAACCCCACAAATGTCCCCTTACCCCTAATGTAACTGAGCAAAAGTATGGCACCAATTCAGGCTGCTATGCTATAAAGTGTCAGAAACCATATTACCAACTCTATTTTATTTAACTGTCTGTGTTTTGAACCAAGTGACCAAAACTTACTGGCTACATTTGGGTAAAGCTTAAAATTGTGTAAATGTCATTTTCCCAAACTATCCCTTTAAATGAAAACAAGTGGCATTCATAGTACAGTAATGCAGTGCTTTAACTTGATACAAGTACTGACCAAGGATCTGCCACAGTGCTGCACTGACCGAGAGAGGGGAGAGAGAGTAAACAGAGGTTCTATACCCAATACAAAACGTCAGTCCACCCCTCCATAGTGATGCACTGGAAGACAGTGAGCATGGCGAAGAAGATGTTGTCGAAGTTGGTGATGCCGCCGTTAGGACCCTCCCAGCCTCCTCTGCACTCAGTATTGTTTCCCACACAGAAACGACCGTTACCCGCAAATGCACACGGCGTGGGGTCATCATCAACATACAGCTCTGCAGGACACATGAGAGAAAACAACATGTTCTCCAAAAAGGTGCTTAAGCCCACTTTCTAGACATTTTTAAAGACTTTCAGTAACAAATGTTTTGAATAGCTTAATTTTTGTTATCTATTTATTTATCTCCCTTTTTTGGGACTGCTGACCACCAACTGTAGTTGTTCTGAGTTCATTGTATGAGTGTTTTTGAAAAGCAATAGAACATAATATGGAAAAAAGTGCTTAAGTCCTGCTACTCTAGTAGTTACAGAAAAAAAGTACACTTTTGCCTTCAAAGTATATATATATATATATATATATATCCCATACGCTCCAATCAGTCTGGTTAACCCTGAGCCACAATTAATTACACATCCTATAGGGATGTTCTGTACCACTTTTTGGGTCCCCAATACTAATAATTAATAATAATCGATCAATGCTACAGCAAAATCACTTTTAGTATGTGCACAATTTGGAATCCACAATCGTTCATTTGCCTCCTGCTGTGTTTAATATTTATGTAGCCTCTTTCAAAATCTAATGAAAAGTTAGTTTGCAGTCTTGTTTCATGGAAACGATCTATCATTTCCATCTTTTTTCTTTTTTTTGTAATAAAGAGTGTTGATATTCATATTATTTTGTGTGTGTGTGTGTGTGTTACCTGTCCCGACATAGAAGCAGGTTTTGTGCATCCTGCCGATGAACAGCTCCAGGCCGATGATGGCGTAAATGATGATGACAAACATGACCAACAGGCCGATGTGCAGCAGAGGAACCATAGCCTTCATAATAGAGTTCAACACAATCTGCAGACCTACATGCGCATAGATACACATACGGTTACAATAATAAACCCTCAAAAGTGCCATGACACATTCAACAGCGAGGCCTGCATCATGAAGTCTTTGAGTGGGACAATTCCAATATTTTATTCATATAATAATAATAATAATAATAATAATAAAAATAATTGTAGTAATTTTATTCTTATTGTTGCTTTTACTGTTACTATTATTACAATTATGACTAACCGATCATTCATTATTAATACAATTATGATTAGTGGTAATACTTTTTAATAAAATCACTACAAGATAATGAAAAAGCACCACTGATAAATAATTGTTTTCATATCAATCATAGGATTATCTTCAAATGTTAAATCTGGGATCCTGCCCTATCTTGGGGCACCTCCATGGTTTCCGGATGCCCCTTTCATGCTTCAGTTGTCATGCTGATACACACAACACACACACACACACACACACACACACACACACACACACCAACACACGCACTTACTGGGCACACCAGAGACGAGGCGGAGTGGCCGCAATACTCTGAAGGCTCGGAGGGCTTTTACGTCCAGACCTCCGGGTTTACCTGCTGCATGATGAGCATCACCAGGTTTGTGTTCCCCCATCTCTGCTACCACACTAAACAGCCTGCACACACAAACATACACCCAGCACAAACCCTTCACACACTGCAGGCTTGGGCAACATGATGATATATTACCACTGAGCAATATGCTTTTCTGAGTATATCATGGATTTTGTCAGTGCTTCTAACACGGAAAACTGAATGTATTAAAAAAAAAGATTAATTTGTCTAATATTTAGACCAAATATAGACAGGCTGTAAGCAACAACCAGCATCTAGTAACTGCATAAACTACATGGTAACATTATGCCATGGTTTTTTATATGTACTTTCACTTTCACCAAGGCCCAATCCCATTCCTTCTTTTTACCCCGACCCCTTGTTTTCGAGTGTCACCCTAACACTACTGGGTAGTGGTTAAAAACTTGCCCTACGAAATGGGACAACCGTCAAATTAAAAAACACATCGCTTCATTAACAACCTATTAGCGCTGCTCGGCAGGCGACCCAGCGCGTCTTCGGTGATAGCAGAGAGGGGAGAAGTTCAGCTCCTCCAGCTTTAGTTACATTTAGGGCATCCAATGCCTTCAAAGAGGGGGAATAAGACAATCATTTATTATCCCCCACTCCAATTATTTGGTGATACGAAGCTGAAGTCAGCTATTCACCAGCTTCTTATTCGAATTTTCCCGTTCCATCTTAAATGGTGCAGCAGTTACATTCTGGCGCTTCTGGCGTCAATACTGCCGGACTATTTAAGGTGGAACGGGAAAGTTAGCTAGCTGCGGAGAAATTAGCATGCTATTAGCGATTTTTTTTGTGTGTTTGTTATGAAGAAAACGACCATAATACATTGAAACGACATTAAACTAAGATAATACAATAGTTATCGTATTTTTTAACGGAGAAAATTCTCACATTTGTGGGTTTCTTTGGTCGCTCGTGCATCTTTTTTTTTTTCATAACACTCCTTTTGGAGGGCCATGTAGCCCTAACACTTCGCCCTACCCCTCTATCTCAACTAAAATTGGGACACACATACCCTAGACGTGAACGCGCAAAACAGAGGGCTAAGGGCTAAGTGGTAGGGGCAAGGGGTGAAATGGGATTGGGCCCAATTGTTTAATTTTTCCTCCTATCCTTCTTAAATTATATTTAATTTTTGCAAGCATTCAATAAAAAAATCAAGGTCACAGATTTCCATGGCCTTTTTCAGATGTGGAGTACCTCATTGACCTGGCTTGTGACCGAGTGAATTAGTGAGTGACAAAGTGACTAAGTGGGTGAGTGAGTGAGTTATTGTGCTGAGTAACTGACTCATTCGCTGAGTAACTCACTTACTGACTTACTCTCTCAGTCACCCACTCACTCACTCGTTTAGTCACTCACTCATTCACTCGCTCATTCAGTCACACACTTATTCACTCATTCATTTAATCCTTCACTCAGTCACTCACGTTTAGCAGGCTTAAGACGGTATCTACTGTGGTGCGCCGCAATAGTGACACTGGGTGTTCTTTAAATTTGGCATTACTGTTCTGCTGGGGCATTCTGTCTGCTGCAACTTTTTTTTTTTTGCTCTTTGAGCCACCTTTAACATACTATTCAGACTGCAGTTTTACGTGAGGAGATTGGCTAATGTAATTTTTTCCAGTGTTTTAGTGCCGCTCAAATGCAGCACATCAGTCACTTTTGTGGAATCGAGGGTATCACACAAACCCGACAATGACGATGACGAAATCCAGTAAGTTCCAGCCGCTGCGGATGTAGGCACTAGGGTGCATGACCAGACCATAGGCCAGGATCTTTGTGAAGGTCTCAATAGTGAAAATCACCAGAAAGATGTATTCCACTTGTTCCTAAGGAGAGACGTACAGGATATAGAGGAGGTGAAAGTGAATCAGAATGGACTAAACTAAAAGAAAAAAAAGTAGAAACATGCGTGTGACATGCTTCACCACCATTCTGAACAATTCTACCCTCTTGAGATGGTTCTTCCGGGGTTCTTTAGTAAAGAAAATGGTTCTAAATAGAACAATAAACACTCAAAGAACCCTTTGCATGATTAATGGGTTCTTTGCATTGTGAAAGAGTTCTTTAGATTGATGGAGGATGTGCTGTAGATGTTTCTGTGTATAACATTTTTGAAAAACTATATGGCACCAAATAGGGGTTTTTCTATTGCTACAATGTCAAGTTTGTAACAGAAGAACCTTTTTTGGTGCTATATAGAACCCTATTTAAAAAGGTTCTTTTAGAACAATCTATGGCACATTTTCCGATCAATCTGAAGAACACTTTCATGAGGCAAAGAGCCCTTTAATCAAGCAAAGGCTTCTTTGTGCGCTCATGGTTCTATATAGAAGAACCCTTGAAGAACCATCTTTTTTAAAAGTGTAGGTGGAATTCCCCTCATTATTGTCAAATAGACTTGCTTATGTGATTTTTTTTTTTCTTAGTCTTTATCATCTAAATGATTGACTGCACAAAACTAAAAACACAAACTATGGATACTGAACTTGCCTTGGTTCATTTTGAAGGAGAGAACTGAGTAATTTAGCCAAAACATTACCATACAGACGTAATGGTTAATGGATGGTTCAGATGTATTAAATTGATAATATATTTTAAGACAACAGTTTTAATATCATAGAGCATGATCGTTAGGCTATTATTTCTGGGGCAAAAGTACAAACTGCTAATGCCAGTGACACACACCGCATATTTTACTGTAGGTGAATTAGATGTAGGTTGTAGGTCAGAGCAACGCTGATAGTAGTTCTCTTTATCTGACACTCACTCACACCCTCCCTCTCACCTGCTTCAGCATACTGAGCTCATTAGCTTGTTGCCCTGTTGGCCCAGTCACTAAGACGCTAGTGCTAAAGGCTGAAGGTGCTCTCAGTAATTCATACTCTCATTATAATGCTAATGCTCATCATGCTAAGGACATTGATAGACTGTCGTTTGGTCATTATCAGCAATAAGTGTCCAATATTACAGAATTACAATGCCTACGTCTCATCACATGTAACGGATCAGCCCAAGCCATTTCCTTAGAAAAAATAATAATGTTTTTCAGTTTTCCAGTGTGCAAAAAAAAACACAGAGGCTTCCATTAGCCAAAACATTACCATACAGATGTAGTGGTTAAACGATGGTTTAGACATATTAAACTAGCATAAATTAGAATGAATGAGTATAGAATGAGTCAGCAAGCAACTCCAATATATCGCTAATATAACCAATGACAGAGTCTTAATCATACATCCCCATCCTGATTTTACTTCCCTTGGTTTCTGGTCACAATTTTCACAATGTTACTAGATGAATCATATGTCAGGGCTGTCAATCAACAACTCTGGAAGGAACCTCAAAAGTCAAAGGTAGATATATATGTATGTATGTGCTGACTTTTTGTGAATATGTTTGTAAATAAACGCAACAAAACTAGCAGACAACTGATTTAAAGTCAGTGACAAGTTTTACAGTTAACTGTAATGATATGCATGACAATGACAAGAACATGCTAACTTGCTATCTCTGCCCGAGGGTCCTGGGACGTGAAAATGCACCCAATCAGTCATTTTTGTGGAATCGAGGGTATCACACAAACACATACATACGTATATTTTCACTCAGGGAAGTGAAATCAGGACGTGGATGTGAGACTGGGTAGCATAGTGAACAGTCCATGCTCACTATTTTTTTCAGGGAGTGAAAGTTCCAGTGCACTAAAACATGTTTTACAATAAAAACCTTATTCTCTGAGTGTCTCTCTGAGACACACCCTTGGCTGTATCAATTTCAGAACTGAAATCCAATAAGATGATCCTCCAATATGGACTAGAATGATCTGTGCTGAAATGCTTATCCCAAATGGAAACAGTGTCACCTTTAAATAAACATACTTATTCCATTTTTCTGAGATCAGTTTACTGATGACTTTGACTCAATGTAGTGGTGTTGAATTCAATACAATAGCAAATTTAAAAATATAACAAAGTGAGCAAACATTCTGAAACTGACCCAGCTTTTCCTTAATTTGTAATATAGGACAGACTCTGTTAGAGGCTAAAAAAAAAACAAGACAAGAATCGCTTTCTTTTCTTACTCTGAAAATACATGGATAATAATACACTCAACACATGAGCTGAGGATTTACACAGTTTTTGCTCCTAAGAGTGGCCTGTGTCGGGACAGATGGTGAACGTCCTGATCCTGTTTGGAGCACTTTCTCTCTCTAATGTCATTAGTGCACTACACAACCTTCACCTTAGACTAACAAGGTTTCAAACATTAGTACATAAACCAGAGCACATCACAAACATTCAGTCTAATTCATTAACATGTGTGCATTCATTGTGTACATTAACATGTGCAGAAAATGTGATGTTGAGAAACATTTTTGTGGCGTTTTTGGTTGTGTTTACTTATTTTTACTTCAATAATCAACAAAATATGTATTTTGGCCAGGGGTGCCCAAAATTTTGCATACAACTATGTACTACAGAGTTCAGCGAGAATGCTCCAAACACGTGGTCAGTAATTTACGGATTTTATTTTGCCTTAGTTCTGTTGCAGTTTTATGATAACAGCCATGTTAGTGCACTTATGCTGTATTTGAGTGCCAAAATGTTGTAGCATATTTATGCATGATTTGTGCTAAATAGCCAGTTCTTACATTTTCTGTAGCATGTTTCATTTAAGAATTTTAAATGCCTGTTTTGGCCCGTTAAAGAGCAAATGTTATTTATATTGCAACTGTGCAAATTTATATTGAAATGTGCTAGTGTGTTTCATGTGTTCATTTAGCCCACATAGCGTGAGCGTTGGATTAAAAAATGGCTAATGAAGTAGAAATGAATCAGAATAAAAATTCACCAGAGTATCACTATATTTTACCATGTTTTTTTTTGGTAATAAACGGTAAATTGTTGGTAAATAATTAAAATTTTATGTAATGTTTGTGCTGGTAAACACACAACTAATGCAGAGATAAATGGTTTTAAACATTTTTGATCAGTGTGCTACAACACTTTACGAAGATTTGCAGTGATATCTCAGCTGAACTGGTGAGAGGTCACGAGCTGTGTCAGAGGGATGAAGGAGAGGTCTTGGATAGGCCATTTTTAGTTTGTAACAAATATGGAGAGTAAAGGAGCATCATTACCAGATTGTGATTGGTGGCATTGGAATCGTCTTCAGGAAACGGCTTCGATACACCGAGGGCAACACAGTTAGCAAAGATGGCTAACAAGATAAATATATCAAAGGGCTTAAGAGACTAGGTTAAGGGGCACAAAATTACAGGCACAGAAAAGGAAAGGATTCAAGTGGGTTATGCATGTCAACAACCTGAAATCTGAGCTGAAATAAGCTGACGTTTGGTGAATTTGGCTGCACTAAAAGATAGAATGCAAAAGCTGTTGGATACAAAGTACAGTAGTAGGCAGAGGAACATCAGTTTGCTAGCATTGTCAAGTCTGCTTAGACCTAATTAGCTTATCAGGTCAACAGCTGTTGCCAGCATTTACACAAACACACATGCACACCCTGCATACACCGCCTGTCAAAAGTTTTGGGACACTTTCTAAATTTAAATTTTTGAATTGTGAAGAATAAAAGAAGTAAGAATAAAACTCCTGCAAAGGTTTCTTTGGGAGCATAAAATTTGTTAATAGTCTTGGTATATTTTGCATCACTCAGCTTCATATACAAGTGTCTTCTTTGGTATTAAAAGGTTTTGCCTGAATGATAGTTTGACAGCTTTCTTTTCCAAATTATTGTTAAAAGCACATACCAAAGGTAGTTTAAGCACCTGAAAGGTTTGTGCGTTAATGAGTGCTTCAAGGGGTGGATTACTGTTGGGCTAGTGGGCCCAGCACCCAGGGGACTCTGACTGCTGGGGGTTCTGGGGGGGTTTCGGATCATGCAAAAATTAGACCAACAAATTGCCCTTGAATATGTAATGACTACATAACTGAAACAAAGGTCCTGCTGCCCATACCTCACTGTCATATTTAAAATAATTAAAATCCCTCTAACACACAAAACGTGTACAGAAAATAATGCACATTCATTTGTTTATACACGAGTCCCCAAAGACGTTTGTTCCCGGGGGCCTGGTGAGACCACGACCTGTCCCTGGTCACAACAAGGGGATAAAAAAAGTGGGGTCTGGCATATTTTACAAAAACTGGTACAAATATTTATACATGATAAATAAAAAAGTGAACTTTTGACAGGCAGTGCATACACGCTATACACACACATACAGGGTGAAGGATATTTCCACTCCACTAGGGCGAGAGCGGCCATGCGGATGGGGTTGCTGAGAGTCAGGCAGCACAGTGCTCTGGGGGCTCGTAGTTTGGACTTATTGGCCTGCATCTGCTTCTTGGCCCCTCCAGTCCTCCTGCGGCCCCCGCCCGAGCCCGTCGAGTTGAGTGTGTCGGACTTGTGGAGGTCACCCACGAGCCCCACAGCAGCTCCATCTGAGAGAAAGGCAAAGAGGTCATTTACACTACTGTTTTAGACACTTTCAGACAATATGAAACGGCAACAAGCCAACATGAAATCCAAATGGATCTTTTTTACCTTCTTAGTTTATGTCCCTGGTCAAATGAATTCATCACAAGACAAAATTCTTCTTTTCCTGTAATCTTTGATCAAAGTGTAGTGATTTTGTCCACCTCTAAAACTCTGAAAAAACTAAAAACTGATTTTTTGGTAACGTCACTGTGCACCACTAAAAAATCATGTTTTTAATATCATGTTTCACCATCCAGAATTCATTGCATTTTAAATCACTAGGCAGAGGGGTTGACGATACATAAATGTAAAGAGATTCTTTATTATATTATGTATAAATATATAGAATCTCTTCAGATATTATATTATGTATAGATATAAAGAGATTCTTTATAGCTATACCTAATATAATTTTAAATTTAAATTTGTTGTTCCCAAAATTGAGATACTGAACATCTAAGAATGTCTAAAACCACAATTTACTGCCTAGTAAATTCCTATTCTAAAGTTATTATTATATATTACAAAGTAACAAAAAATATTCTTATGCTTATCTTAAGCAATTTCAAATTTGAACAGTAAGGTACGTGTAATGTGGAGTTAATGTAACAAGATTTTGTGATTTTCAACACCTCTATTGGTCAATTCACCATGACATTTTTAAACAGTGTAAAGCACATCTGCAGATGAACAAAAATGGAGATACATGCTTTTTTTGGACAGCAACAATAAGAAACACAGAGGACAATTAACCATGTCAAGCTGAATTTAAAATAGCCAAAGCTGCACTGTCCTTATGTAGGGATAACCTGAAACCATGCATAATACAATAAGGTTAAAAAGTGCACCCTGAATATGAATGTGCATACAAGTCCAAATAGAAAAGACATTGAACCTAATCAGAATATTAATGACAGACATATTATTCATGTTATTGATAAATAAGTGACGCTTTAAAGGAGAACCTTTATTCAATGATGTGGTATTGGTTATTTGTGTTGGCTGGGCTTCTGTACAGAGATACTCCTCTTCAATAGGCATAACAGAGGTGAACAGATCAATATAATAGTGTCAATAAGATCACCCTTTAAGAAAGCATCCTCAAACTGTTTTCTTTTAGCAGTAACTTTAAAGAGGATGTGAATTATAGATGTATAACACAGTATCAGGGAGGTTCTCTGAACTAGCTGTGCATTTATATTGCTAATTGGTGGGCATTGTGGGGAGGCAGGTGAGACAAGATATTATTGGTTAATATTGTTTTTCCCTGCCCACTGAAAGGTGAGCATTACATTTTGAGGGATATCACGATGTTCCATGATATCCTGAAAGGTCAGTTTCGATTTCAGGTTGACTTCGATCTTGATTTGTGGATTTGGATGTGCTTTTCATGGTGAAAAAGTGGGAAGAGATGATTGCAAATATCTGTGCAGGACAGGAACTACTTTTCCTTCTACACTCTCCCTCCACTACTCATACACACACTCCTATGGAGTTTTTTGTAATGGTAATCCACTATAGTTACTGTTATATCAAAACCCTGTAACTTTTCTTTTTACATCATTTGAAAACATCAGCTGCCATTTACACTGTGTGAACAGCTTATTACAAATGACCAACAAAAATGGTCCCAAATCAAATCTTGTTACCTTAACCCATATTAACTAATCATTCAAATATTTTAAATTGGTCATTCTGCCATATAGCTTTAGATACTTTTGGTAGGATCCTTATCACAGTTTCCAGTCTTTCCAGTTCCTCTACTGATTTAAATGTCACAATGTCAATTAAGAAATGGTTAAATTGGTGCACTACTGAATTCAGGCCTGACGTTTCATATTCTGACCAACTAAACATCGGCCCTATGTTAGGTTTTATTGCCAATAACGTTTACCTGAATGTACATCTCTGTCTGCAGAACATACACTTGTTATAGTGTGTTACAGTGAGTTATAGTGCGTAACAGCATTTATGTTTTTAACGTGCTTATGAACAGACATTATAATGAAAAGTGCCTTTTTAAAGCTATATAGTCTTGTTTATAAAGTGTTAGGCAAGTTACTATAACTGCTTATAAGCAATTATACAAGCTTATGCATATAGAAGCATATGGACTGGATTGGACTGATGTTTCAAACCAATATTTGATATTTATTGCATATTGTATTTATTGTATACTGGAAGAGGTGCTAAAGTGTCCATATTTTACAGATTTTACTGCATCCACAGCTCAAATAAATACATATAATTCTCCTTAAACCTAATCCAGCTGGATTTAGCTCCAATTTCTAACCTTTATAAATGTATGTGTATCGGCATCGGCAGATATGCACACGAAAAACAGTGAATATCGGCGTCAGTCCATATTCCCGTATCAGCGCATCCAATTTTAACACACAATCCCCAGGCAGTAAATCGAACATCTTTGCTGATCCAGCTGGAGCCTCAGTCCACTGATCTAGCCCAGCTTTCCCAAGCTCCAGTTACCCTGCACTGCACTGTAGGGATGTACAGATATGGAAACCGTGGGATGGTGATATATGACACTGGTCATGCACATTTCCACCAGTGTCAATACACAAACATTTATAAAACATAGAAATTAGGACTAAACACACCTGGATCATAATTGCACAGAAATAAAGCACTTATGTCTTTAGCAATAATGCAAATGCATTTAAACAAATAAAATGCAGACCTTTTTAGAGCCCAGCATCACTTAAACACTCAATACTCAATAAATACGTCATCAAAAATCAGTCTGAAATAATGGCCAAGTCTAAACCTGTCAGATGCCGATCATTTTTGTAATAATTATCCACCAATACCGATATGGTTTTGATATCAGTGTGCATCTGTAATGCACAGGTTTGAATTTTCTTACATCTGAGGTGTCATCAGCTAATAAGTCCTACTTGAGCTGAATCGGCTGTTTACCAAAGTGTGCAGGTGTGCTGCAAGACTAGAGTTGACCTAGTCAGTGCATACAGTATTATTACAGCCTAGTGAGGTCACATCTTCCTGAGATGATGGAGTGAGAATGCAGAGAAATAACCAACTGGCAAGACGGGCAGGCAGAGAAGACATATGGCCAGAGCTGGATACCTGAACAGAAAGGTGCCCTATATGGGATCTGACAGATGTGACCTAGTTCTTCTGAGTGAGGACTGCACCAGCCTCAGAGCACCTGAGAAAGCTCAAAAGCTGAAGGCCACTCAACGCATTGAGAACAATGTAAAAAATACACAGTATAAGATGTCATTATTATGATTACTGAATATTTTTAATACAGCATAGCCACAAATTAATATATTAAGGCCACGAGTTAAGTTTCTCTTAACTCGTGGCGTCAACATATTAATTCGTGATATCAATATATTAATTTGTGGCCTCAATATAGTAAATTGTGACCACGTCTTATTAAGAATAATCACCATTTCAGTTTAGGAGCTCCGTAAAAAACATGCAAAATGAACCTACGCTAAAATGAGGCCATGGCTCACATAAAGCTGATGAATCCAGTCCTCCAAACGTGGAGGACTGAATGTCCCACAGTAATTCAGTTCATTCTGTAACTTAAACCCATATGCAGGTTTAACTCACCTTTAGGCGCTGCGTCCATCTCTTCAGCTTCAGTAGACCAACTTTAATTCTCCTCACCATGAAATATTCCCCTCCTTGAGCAAACTGAAGCTCTTCTGTCTCCACGAACCATCCACAAATCCGGTCAATTCGCCTTCATTTCAATCAAAAAGTAGTCTAGTCCACCTTAAAAGGTTCTCCAGTGGCACAAGTACGTGCCAGGGTTTACATGTTCACCTGAATTTATACCTTTGAAGAACCTATGACGAAAATGAAGAGCTTGTGGTGAGTGAGAAAAAATGAGGGGAAAATGATGAACTGCCTAATGTAGGTGTTTAATATTGTTTCCTCAGGCTCCTTAGCAATTGTCTGTAGTAGGCTAAGCTTTGTGTTCTGGATTAGCCCATTTGAGCCGGTTAACGGGGATGACCATGCTGAAATCTTCTACAGGGAGGTGGGGAGAGGACGAAATTTCTAGTCGGTCAGTCAAACCTTTTTAAAAAACCTGAGGCGTTTGGTTTTCGAGGCCTGTCGCTCCATTATGAACGCAAATATTCACACAGCTAGCTAAGTTAGTTAGCCAAGTGACTGCGAAAGATGCCACAGCTATCATACATTCTGTTTAATGTAGAACGAAAACTCGAAAAAGTCAGAGAATAAAGAGACAATGTTCATACAGGCAGATGACTACGAAGCAGAAGTTAGCTTCTTATTCTAATTTTCCGTTCCGCCTTAAAAGGTGCCCCGGCTATACATACTGTTTAAGGTGGAACGACAAATTCGAGTAAGAAGTCAGAGAATAAGGTGCCTCATCTACTGAGAAGGGTAATATATTACTGACTATAGGCTGCTTAAACATTACACTCATGAAGCGACTGACAACACTTTTCTAATGCGATAAAAATAGAGACCTTTTCTAACAATGAGAAAATGAAACCCAAAATACCCTAAATAAAAACTTTATAAGGTGTACCAGCGTCTGAGTGTTAAAGCAGTGTCTTCAATATTTTTTATGAAGTGGCAAAGCGCCCCCTCCTGGAGACAAACAGAAGCACACACTGCGCATGTCTGAAAGCTCAGTGGATTTAAAATCACTTGCAAAGGATTCAAGAAATCCACGACAGGGTAACGTGTATTGTACACTTTAAATACATACTGCATGACAAAATACACAAAAGAAGAGAAGAACATGTTTTTTTTTCTTCAGGCAGACTTACAAAAGGCAGACTTGGCAAAAACAGAATACAAATAGGCACAAAATATCCTTACACCAAGATCAAGTTCATTGGATTCAAAAGAAAATAAAGTCTCCCAGCCTAAAGTGAAAATCTACAAATTTTTAAAAATATTCTGCGTAATTCAAACCTTAAGATGTGAGCCATTCAGAGCAGAAATGTGAAATCTACTGCAATTTTTACAGTGGTGGTGCAAGGAGCCAGACGTCTGAACAGTTTAATGCCTCTAAAAGCTCCCTTACAGCACACTATAGCTATGCAACAGGGTTTGGGCTGGTTTTCAAACACACTCAGGTTGTTGTAAGGAAAAACAGTACCCAGATTAAGATTCCCAGATTAAGCACTATTTTACCATAATCAAGAGTATATAAAACACAGAAGACACATTTAGGCTCACAGCTTATTTTGGAGAGTAAATAAAATGGCTATATTTACATCATAGACATCGTCACACCTGGTTCCTATCAGCACCACTGTAAAAAATCTGATTCTGTAAGTTTCTCTACAGTAAACCATTTCACATCTAACCGCTCTGGATGAATCTGTTTACACCCCAAAGACTGAGTTATGAAACTCTGAAAAAGCAGAGGAATTCCTCTTTAAATATAATCATCTGTACTGTCCTTCACTGTTTTTGAGTTATTACATGTCCTCAAAGCTGTCCTTAATGTATGAAAGGATAATACTTGAGTATTTATACAGTCTGTTTCATCATTGGGGTCTGAATGCAGACAGGTTACAGGTATGGCAAAGAGATTCAGTCTGGCATTTGAACATTCAGTAAAATAGTGTCTTTCAGACACACTGGAAGAAATAAGCTGTGCACACAATTTAACATAAAATGCTTCAGTAAAGGTACTTACATAAATCTCAACTCAAAGGATCAAATTATATAACCATCCGTAGTGTATAATTCAAATCAAATCAAAGTTAGCAAAAGAGCATTTAAGGTCTATAACATTTTCATTAACAGTGACATCTGTCTTGATTAGACTTTATGTATCATTACTGACTGTATGTCAAAAATTACAAAAGACATGGTTTGCATTATGTGGTAATGTTGGATTAAGTGCAACGGATGTGAGAAGAAAAACTTCATCTTCATTAATTGGTGAAGGTTTGTACTGATGTAAACGAGTAATGCATAATGGAGGCATTATGGGCTTACAGGCATAATCTGTATGTGTGCATCATGAACACCAAAAACAATTACAACAAAGTATATCTTTGGAAGCGATACACTTTAACACAAACAATGAATGTAAAACAATGTTAATATTTTTCCTTGCTTGCCTCAATGCAGCAAAATCACAAGCATTAAATCAAAACCTACAGTAAAATCATCTCAGACATTCACTGTAGGTCTTCATTTAACGTGGTTTTACTTGCACCTTGTCTTTAGTGAAAAGTCATTTTAAGTCCATTGTACTTCATTTAAATGTATCCCCTCCTTCCTTCCATTCATACTCCGCCCAAAATGAACCTTTTTCACCTTTTTCTAGGCCTTCCCTGAATATGTGGGGAAATATTGGCACCATAATAAAAACACATAGCTAATAATGTTGATTACGAAAGGCCCTAGAGGAAGGTTACTGAAGATTAATGTAGGTCAGAGACATACACTATGACCCTGCCTCTTGCTCTTGACCTAGTGCTTCCAGTAGCAGGCCCATGGGTGTCCTCTTCAGCCCTATGCTCTCCAACTTGTTCTCCAGTTTATTCTTTAAGCTTCTCAGCCTCACAGAGGCATGGATCAGGATCACTGAAGGAAAAGGGATGGAACAGAATTTGAACAGAAAGCATAGGAAAGACATAGACAAAGCACGTTCTTTACATAATCTTAAAGCAGGAGTGCACAACTCCAGTCCTGGAGGGACGGTGTCCAGCAAAGTTTGGTAGTTCTCCTGCTCAAACACACCCACTAAACCTGGCAATTAACAGTTGAGTTGAATCAGCGGTGTTTGAGTGGGAAAGTCATCAAACTGTCCTTGACACCAGCCTTCTAGGATTGGAGTTGTGCATCCCTGTCTTGAAGGTGTAACAATCCAACTTTATCATATTTTCATTGAATATTAGCTTCTTAATTCAGTATGCACATCTTAAAGAATACATGCAACGGACCAGAGCAAAGTACTCACTTTAATACTGATTATACTGCATAAAGCTTAATAAAAATGAAACCAGCAAGCCCACAATAGTGGCAGACCCTCTGAAAATATTGCTGCCTCTTTACCTTAAAATCGAGAGCAGTGAGGAGAAGCACACTTTCCGCATGCATATATTAGCTCAAGGAGAACATATTTGCTCATGGGTAGGGCATCATTATAAAATACTGTACTTTTCTAACATTGAATGCTCTAATAAAGCGTTTCTCAAACTAGGGGCACCACAGGGGTAGAAAAATCTCAGAAGCTCTGTCTCTATGTAGTCGTTTTTAATTCTGTTAGTGTATAAAATTTGTATACACTTTAGTATATACCAACAAATTACTATCCACAATCACTCTACACTTCCTCTTAATCTGCCATAACTCTTGTACGTGCAGGTCAGCAATAGCTTTTGTAAGACAATGTCCTTGAGAGGCCCATGACACTAAACGGGGCCTTTTAGCTTAAGAAGTGCTGTGCTAATAAAATCAAAATGGAAATATTACAATGTGAACAAAAGGTAGATTTTCAGGCACTCCTTATTTTAGCTGCATCGACAAATGTACAGAATCGATACATCACTGTAACAAACCCAATTTTATGAACTGTTACATCCGTACAAAAACTGTATCATACAGATGGATAGACAGACTTTACTGGTCCCCGAAAGAGAAATATGGGTGTTTGATTGATCCCCAGGAGGCAATATGGGAAATATGTAACAATACATTCTATTAAGAATCTGTGACAGCCAATATTGACAATAATTTGCAATGTATTTTATGTTCGTACAGGGAAATACAAGCTAATTGTCTTGAATGAGCACTTCCTCCACTAAGACATACAAAAAAGGAACATTCACAGCTTGCACTATGTCTTAGTGGATTAGGCCCAGTGCCCGACATGCAACCTGAAGAATTTGCTGCCCGTTTACAGGCTTTACCAGGCGACACCAGATTCAATCTAAACGACTCAGCAACAGAACACAACTTTAGGTGGGAGATACTAACATAGAATGGGAAAGGTGATGCCAAAGAGGAAGACGGCCACCCCTCCCAGGACGGAGAGCAGCAGATAGCTGGAGCCCAGGATAGCCACCAGACAGATAGAAGGGTGGTTTCTCCTAAAGCGTCTGATCACAGCCTTGTTCTCCGCAGCCCACACAAAGCCCAGAAACACCAGAACCACCACAACTGCCCCGAGAGTGAGCTGAAATGGCTGGAAATACCTGTGAAAGGTAAGAGTTTCAACAGTAAACATGAGGCGTAAGGTGAGAAGAGTCAAAGGAAAAGAGTATGGCATGGTATACACAAAGACAGGCTCACTTAATGCCAATAAATGGGACATATGATCTTATTGTAAGCAAAACAAGCCCTTCTGAGAAATCAAAGCACATTACATTAATCAGGTCCAAATAAAGAACAACTTTTGGAAGAACTGCATGTTTTAATTAGGATTATATCCCTTCAAACCACTTAATAGGCTTTTAAAGCAGTTTACAGTGTCTTCTAATTCAACATTTTTGCCCAGAGGTAAAATCAAGTTGCACACTGCTTTTTCCATTGCGCTTAATTGCCTCGAGCAGAGAGTAGCCCACCACAAACACCACAAAGAAAGCTTAGACCACCCCTGCCTTTTTGGTCAAAAGAAGAACCAGCATGTTTGGGCATTTTCGAAACTTAACTTTGGTCTAAAACAGCTGAATCCAGCAGGTTCTCAGTGGACAACACATCACAAGACAACAGATGTCCTGAATGGACGAACACGTCACGGTTGTTTCCTTACCCGACAAGGAGCAGCACCGCAAACGCGGATACGAAATAGTTCGTCTGGTAATACAGTAAGTTGTTAATTATCCGGTTGTTCCATCTCTCTAAATTGCGAACATCTGGCGCGGAGAATCTGGCCGAGCTCAGAAGAAAATCATCTAGGCTTCGCAAAGGCGGAGGCTGAACGTCCACCATTTTCGATGGTCGTGTAGGACTACATTACCCAGCTTGCAATGCGAAACGTTCAGCTGATTGGGCTGCAAAATTTCCACAAAAATAATGCCTAATTTTTTTCTACGTCCTTATTTTACAACTGTAGAAATATTTTTACTTTTAGTGTTAGAAATTTCCAGAATACAATTCAGGGCTGTTGACTACTGAAACATCCTGATACGTAGAAGTAACTATGTGGGAAAGGTTACGGTGTTCAGATTACTGATTTCACAAAATAAATAAATATATAAAAATATAATCTTTAACCTTAAGGACAACTTTATTAAAGCAATGTAATCAGATTAATTTCCGTTATTTTTGGATTACTTGCCTTTTTTTTAAGTCATTCAATTAAATAAAAACAAGAAAAAAATAATTTCAACAAGACAGCATTTATAAAACAAAATGACGTCATCATTTTCTTAACTCTGTGTGCTATTTGTACATCTATTTGGAAATATTATAAAATATTTTGGTGAAGATAATCAGGTATTCAAAAAAAGCATGTTTAAATAATTAAGAACATTAAATAAATGATGTATGATCTTCTACTGTTTTAAAATGACACTGTGGTGTAGAAACGCAGAGGTGAGGACATAAGCACATAAGGACATACTGTGTCTCACAGAAATGGCCACTGATCAGATGTTTAGCAAACTGGGGCAATTTTAGTACATATAAGAGACAAATTTGACAAATGACAAACTTGCTAAATGTAAGCTGATAGATTTGTACAGTGTAAGTTGTGTGAGTTATTGTTCTGTAGACCAACTGATAGCATGTTAATGCTGCACTATGTAAGATTTGGGGATTTGGACCTCTCTGGTACAAATATTTAATTGCATGCAACATGCAGAAGACCTGACTTTTAAATGATTATTTCAGGCTTTACAGGGTGACTCGCAGCAGCGCGCGCACACACACACACACACACACACACACACACACACACACACACACATTTAACTTGTTTTCTTCCTGACTCATCAATGCTACTTCTTTCAGTTTTAACAACCTTTGATAGCTTTAAACTGTTTATGCTTAAGACTCCTGTGCCTAAAGCTCTCCACAAGGGAGCTGTTAACACTAAAGTATGTTTTCTCTGCATCATTGAAAGAGAGGAAACTGATTGCTGAACTAACAGTGGACTTTAAGTTTCTATGTTTTCTGAATGGTTCACTATAAAGCTGCAACATACAAAGTAAACAATATGCTACTTGAATGTCATACGAGCTTCAGAAGTCTGTATTTAAGCCACAGATGCCATAAGTTGCATTAAACCCAATGTGAGACAAGTCCCAATTTAAATAATGAAGTCTGAAGTTTGTGTAGATGAATGAAGTTTCATCTGGACGCATATCATGTACGCGTATCATATGTATGTAAACTATATTAACGTCTGCTGCTTTAACAAAAACTTGAACACTCCAGATAAGTCAACCATAAAACACTTTATTTATACATCAACATTCTCTTATTCCTATCAATAGTTTACCATAAATAAATAACGCGTCAACAAAAACGACTAAAACAGACATGACTTAAGTCCCTTCCCCTCAACCTAAAATCAAAGAGATAATAAATGAAGGGCAAAAAATGGAAAGAGTGAAGTTTAGGATGAAGGTATGCAAGAGTACATTGTACAGTGAAAATGTGATTTAGGAGCAACTAATTTTTAAATAACCAGCTTTCCGATGTGATGTGAGAAGTGAAGATGACAAATATTCAGGTGGTGGAGGTCCTTTTAACAAAATAGATGTAAAATTCCTCAAATATAAAGATGTGATTTTCCTGTTTGTAGCACTGAATGTTTTGTTTTAAAAAACTACATCTATATTGAGGCATATTGATGCAACACTACTTATTTAGCGTAGTATTCTAATGCATCATTTTGTCAGTATCATCTTAACAATAGTGGTCAAAGTGATACTCCCTCCAACGTCTGACTATGGATATGGATTTTGCTGTTGTTTTGTCAGCTCATTTTCTAAACTGAATAAATGAATTGCCTACACAATCATACAAATAATAATAATGATAATAATAATCATATTGATATTCACATTATGCACCTTAGCAAACAAAAGCTGCTAGAACTTCCCTGTTCAATAAGAACAAATACTGAAGTGTATATCACAGCTCATACATAAATAATATAAATGACTTACTGCCCCTGAGCAATTACCATATATGCAGACTTCAGGGAGGATAAGGTGAAGAGGCAAGTTGTCTCCAGAGGGCACCTTAACAATTGTGAAGGTTGAAGATAGTAAAACCTCCCAGTCTGCAGAGTCACAGTCACCATAACAACATGCTAAGTTTACTGGTATTGTCCATAGCCACGACTGTCTTGCCCGTGGCCCCCGTCTTTAGGAGGAAGCTGGCTAGGGTCCTCCAGAAATGGACTCGCTGGAGAAGGAAGGAAAGTGTGAACAAAAAGCAATGTTAGCACTTCAGTCTCAAGCCCTACTTGAGCTGGATAAGTTTTGACCTAGGAAGGCCTGACAGCCTGACAGTACTAACTGAGGTGTGAATGTCCTTCTGTAATCAAGTGAATCCAGAGCCCCCTCAGTAACAGTAGTCTTGTTCCAGTTCACCTCACACTAATGGAATAACGAAATCCGCTGGACACCGCTGTGCGGTGCATTGTTATTATTACTGAAAGTGGAGCCTGTTGCGTAATGCTGAGGTGAACATCCAGACAATGTGGTGATTGGGAGAAATTACATAGTGACTTATAATAACTCATACTAATTGCACTCTTTACACTAAACACACACACACACACACACACACACACACACACACACACACACACACACACACACAAAAAAAAGCTGTATTAAGTGATGTTAAGACTTACGGTTCTGGAACTGCTGTGCTGTGTATCTGGTGAGTAGGATGCCAAAGCCCTCAATCAGGGCCAGCAGAATTCCCCCCATCATGGCAGAGCCAACCATGGCCAACGGCCCACCTGAGAAAACCAACACACACGAGCTAAATGGGCAAAATCAAATTTAGAAAATCACCAGATCTCAGATCTTCTTACTTCCAGGAAATGATGTCATTGTGCTTAATAGTGTGCAAAATTGTAGGGCTGTATATGATCGCTGGTGGGACAAAAGCTTCTATTTTGAAAATCTGAAAAATTAGCTGCCCTTTACATTATAGAAATGGAAACAGAACATTAGAAAATACCGGAATAAATATCCAATAAATATTGGAATAAATAATTTCAGTATAAACTTCCATTTCATATTTTTTCCTCACTCCCCTGTAAAGTTACAACAAGGTTTTATTCTGACAGAGACGGTATAGAGTATACACAGAGTATACAGGGACCTTAAAAAGTGACATCTCTTTGCCTTAAAAATAAGCTATTAAAAAAAGTTTAAGAAAAAAGTTACAAATAAAAGCACTGTGATATACATAATATATACCAGAATATCAATATTTTTCATATCATTTTAAAGCAAAATTACTTTCACTTTTGTAGCCTTGTAACTTCATGTGTACACCATCTATTGGCCACTTCCTCAATTATTTAGCATATCTGAGATGGTTAGTCAGGAAGCTGTGTGTGATTTCCCATAGATAAACTGACCCTATTTAAAGTTGTATAGGTTCACAATGCATGGAGCCCATTGTGGTACTTTTATGGAATGATTTTTTTTGCACTTGTGCACCGTTATCTCTAAGGAGGCCAATAATTTCATCAGCTGCATAAGTGAAGATATAAGTGGTCTAATAACACTGTGGGCCACAGTTTGATTGCCCCTCCTGTGCTGCCAGTAGTTGACTGCTGTCTGCAGTCACTAGTGCTGTTGTAATGCCGTTAAACACTCACTGCGTGCTGCCAAGATGGCTCCGGTCATGGCTCCACTAGTGATTGAGTTCCAGGGGTCCTCTTTCCCCCTCAGTCGGACCAGGCCACAGTCTATTGTGGAGAAGAGCCCTCCCCATACTGCAAAACTACCTGTAACACACAGCCATTTCAGTACAGATCAGAGCTTTTATTTCACTTGAATTCAAGCAGTAACAGCTATGCAATAAAGCAATTTTTACAGGAAAGGAAGTTGGTGTGGTGATATTTTAAGCAGCATGTACACAGAGACATCATTCTAAATGGCATCCCAAACACTGTTTTCCATGTAATAGCTATAATGTGGAGACAGGCGGCAACACAGCTCTACACGTCACTGATACAGCCAAGATAACTAAAGCACTTAAAAAATACATACATACATACATTATATATATATATATATATATATATATATATATATATATATATATATATATATATATACACACACACACACACAGGGTAAGTATTGGCAGCGACTTCATGATACGATATTAATTTCAATATGAGCTTCACAGTACATACTACAACTTAAGCTCCACTATACGATAAATATTGTGGAATAAGCTTCATTATATGATACACTGCTGATTTGTGCCAGCTCTTATTCATTACTAGTAACATGTAACATGAACATTTCTGGATCAAGTACTCAGTGGAGTGAAATACTGATCCACTCTATGAATTCAGGTCAGTCCCTGCATCTCTGCTATAGAAGGAAAACAAAGAGGCAGCAGTAGAACAGAGAGCACAAAAGACAAACTCACCTCCAATCTGAGGTGCTCTAATTCTCACAGCGTTCGCACTCCCTTTCAGTCGGTGTCGTACGCCCTGAGAAACAGAGGCAATTTTTCAGAATCCTGATAAACTCAACATGAAATAACTTAAAAAATAAAAGATAATATATCTATAATATAATATAACTTATGTTTTTATTCAGGTCACTGAAACGTACCACAGGCGCATTCCTGAAGCCTTTGATGGACTGAAACACCCCCCCACCTATGGCCCCCATCGTAAACGCACCACCACAGTCATCTACTATTCTCCATGGACTGAGAGAGAGAGAGAGAGAGAGAGAGAGAGAGTGTACAAATAAAGAGAGATAGGGTAGGAGTGGGAGAGAGACAAAGAAAAATAGAGGAAGAAGTATAAGACAGGGAAAAAGAGAGAAAGGAGTGAGAGAGAGAAACAGAAGACAGAAGGACAAAGACAAAGGGAGTCAGAAAACAGCAAGAAAACAAAAAAGGAAGAGAGCAAGAGAGTGAGGTAAAAGAGAGAAAGAAGAATGCAGTGAGAGAGAAATCAAAGACAGAAGCAGGACGCAGATGGACAGCAGAAAGAGCAAGAGAAAAAAGAAAATAGTGAACAAATGAGACGAAAACGAGAGAGAGAGAGAGAGGAGAGAGAGAGAGAGAGAGAGAGAGAGATTGACATGACAGCATCGTTAACTTAACAAGCTTTGTTTACTGAACTGAGGGAGAGTAAATGAGACGGCATGAATGAAATCCTTAATCTCTGCACTTGCTGCATTTGAACAGACAGGGAAATGTCTTGAGAAGCTTTTATAAGTCACTCTGTATCAGTATTAAATGACCCGGCTAACTGAGGGAATCCGCTCTGTGAAACGGTCAGCTGCGTTTGTTTGATAGCTACATCTATTGAACGTTATCTCCTCGACCCTGAAGTGTTTATGTGCTGCTAAGTTAGCTCCGCTGGCTAACTACGGGAGCTAATGGAAGACGCGCAGACACGGGCGAGGAGGCCGCGTCCTCTAAGGAGCTATTTTAAACCTCTGTTTTTGGCGTGACGAGTCGGTCTACTCGAGGAGTAAAGCTGTCACAGAAGTTGTACTTTACCAAGGTTCACGGGCATATTCCTCCATGATCGACTGCTGACGTCAGTGCCCTGACGCAGCTGCCTGCTGGGCTATTTAGCGCCATCTGCTGTCGAGGACTGATGTTCTCTCTTTTTCAGCTTCAAACACAACTAGTGCGTTGCAAATTATAATACATTTATTTTTGAAAAGCAGCACACCCAAATACGACGCAGTGCTCACATGTCCGAGATAAAATGAGAAAATCCAGACCACTCAGCCATCACTGAGCGCTGTACTGCTCCTTCCGAGACCACTAGGGGGCGGCGCGTGACGTCATTCGGTGCGACGAGTGAAGCTGTTTGCCTCCTTTGAATGAGACGCTAGAAGTGTGTGGCTTTTAAAGGTAAATAAAGCTAATATTTAATTAATTTATTAGTTTTTACAAGTTGTGTACATGTGACGCGTATCTTCTGTCAGTTTGCGTAGTTATCCAGCTACAGTATTGCTGACAGTAGCTTAAAAAGCAGCCCGGTGAAGCTAACTAAGCTAACTCATGGCTAACTGTAAAGGCTGGGGTTGGTGTTTGGCTGTTTTGTAGCTATTGAGTCTGCAAAATAACACCCTTAATGCTTAATACCCTTAAAAGTGCAGCGGCTGATTCAAAGTTGGGTCACACCAACAGGGAGGATATGTTTTTCAGCAGGTGTTTCGAAAACTGATAGGAAGATCTATGCTTTATTCTAGAATGACACTCTTTATGTTGTACATGTAATTGCAACTTGGAGCAAGCCTGTTAAAAATAGCGTTATCTGTTGGAAGAAGGCTTGGATGCCTTCAAATAAGTATTTGCTGCTAAATAAAGACAAAGAGGTTTCTTATAAACTTATCCACCAAATTTATCCAGTAAAATCCATTTTGGTATCAAGATTTAAGGTGCCGGTTGATATAAACTGTACTTTTTGTGTTTTACAGCCAAAAATACTTTTTCACAAAGCCTGTTATGGCTGTGTGACCACACTCGAAGACCATGGCACAGTACTTGAAGCTTTGTCTTGGACTTTTATAGTGATTTTAACTTTATTTAGAAAATGATTTATTTTAGGTTTATAAATTATGGAAATAATTGAAAAATTATTAGAAAAAATGTAATATACATTTACATTTATGGCATTTGGCAGACGCTCTTATCCAGAGTGACTTACAATGTAATCATTTTTACACAGGTAGGCGAAGGTAGTGTTAGGAGTCTTGCCCAAGGACTCTTACTGGTATAGTATAGGGTGCTTACCCAGGCAGGGGATTGAACCCCAGTCTACAGCATAGAAGGCAGAGTTGTGTCATTTGAAATCTTTATCTACCTCCTGCTATTAAAAAAAAAAACTGAGAAAACCTGCAACCTGTGTTCTAATTTTGGAATTTTTGAGTAAGTAATCTGTTTTATAATATCATACCTAGATTCTCTTATTTCCTTTCTTTTCTTGATATTTCCACTTATCCACCCAGCCACCCATCAACCCACTCATCCACCCATCATCCAACTTATCCAACCAGCCATCCATCAACCCACTCATCCACTCATCCTCCACTCATCCACCCATCAACCCACTCATCTACCTATCCATCCATCCACCCACAATTTTATTGTAGTTTATTGTAGCCATATGAGCTCATGATTGAACCTTTGCATATTTAACCAAACAAAACACTAGTGATGGTCTAAAGGCTTAAACATTTCCTTGTTGTAGTATGAGTTCAGATGAAGATACATTTACCACTGAGTGTAACTTTTAATAGCAATAATGTGATGGTGGTTAGACATTTGACAAAATAACTTCCTTGATGGCAGAGCATTCTTAATTTATCTTGCTAAGCCAATGTTACTCTGCATCTCTAAACAAAAGTCTTTGGTGAAACTGTAACTTGTTTGACTAGAATGCAGTGATGGACTTATTATACCTTATATACCTTATTATTGTATACCAGCACGTGTCTGTCACGGATCACAGCTTTTGTCAAATTACTAATGGTGGTTTGCCAGATATTCAATCAGTGTTTTTTTGTGCTTCCCCAGATGCCTCTGCCACCAGCTCTTCTGGCTCGTTTGGCCAAGAGAGGAATCCTGAAACAGTCAGAGCATGGTAAGATGTCAGTTCACATTGTCAAGCCACTGCACTTCTTGACTTAGCATTAACTTTTTCACCTGTGACTGACTGGATGTATATGCTTGTCTCTTCCTGTCATTAGAAACTGAAGAGGAAATCATCGCAGAGGACTATGATGACAACAATGTAGACTACGAAGCCACAAGGATCGAAAATTTACCCACTAACTGGTACAAAGTTCTGGATCCCACCAGGTAAGTGGTCCAGACTGTAATAGATTTATAATAACGGTTTTCACATGATCACATGAGCACTCCTAAATATATAGATATATTCTCATGACTAAATATAAGCAAGCAGTACTGTTTTTCACTACTGCTATGTGGATCTATATGTACTGAATATATAAACCTAAATAACAGAGTGTGAACATTTGGTCTAAAAACCTTCTCCTTTGTGACCCCCTCATCCAAACCTTTGACCCACATTTTACATTTACATGTGCCCTTACCTATAAATAGCAATACGTTATCTGTCAAAGCTTGGGAACATTCTGCTACCAGAAACTTCTGCGTTTGAAAAAACATCCATAGTTAATTTTATTGCTGCATACACCATGCTCAACAGCTCTTTGCTGATGGATCTACATAGAAATTATAATCTGTCCAATTGGAAGGAAAAATAGTTTTGCATCACTCCATGGCATGTGTTTCCGCAGCTTTACTTTCCTTCAGTGCTTCCTTTGTATAATTCAGAAATGAATATCTAGTGACACAGAGTCCTTTGTGTTTGTCCTCAGTGGCCTTCCGTACTACTGGAATGTGGAGACAGACTTGGTGTCCTGGTTGTCCCCCAATGACCCTGCTGCAGTCATCACTAAAGCGGTCAAGAAGCAGAGAGGTAAAGAGCTGAAGGAAGAAGTGCCTCAATATAATCACTCTAAAATTCATGATTTCACCCAATGACACAGAAGTAATGTGCTGCTCAAATTTGGTTCTTGATGTTCCCAAACTGCCTATTTTGCATGTTTGAGATGCTGCTCTGATGAGATGCTGCTTCATGCACATGACCGTTCAAAAGTTTGGAATCACTGTTTCCAATAATATGAGCCCTGTAAAATGATTCTAATATGATGCTATAACTTCTTATGTTTCAAATAATCTGAGCAGGGCCATTGAAGATTCAGTAATCATTGAGAAAGAAATATGACATTGATGATGATAACTTAAAAACTTTTTAAAAACTATTTGTATTGTATTGATAATTATGGTATGGCTTTCAAAAAACTAGAAGTATTGAATGGAAAATAAAAATACCTCCTGGCATCGAGTGTATAATGGTTAACATAATATGTGTCCTAACTTGTGCTTTTTCTTAGTGGAGATTGTGGATGAACGAGGGGATGGTCACCATGAGAAGTCGGAGAGAGAGCGAGAACGTGAACGAGAGCGAGAGAGAGAGCGTGACCGGGACAGAGACAGGGAGCGAGAGAGAGACGATGGGCGGGACAGAGACAGGGACAGGGATCGGGACCGGGACAGAGACAGAGAGAGAGACAGGGACAGAGACAGACGAGTGAGAAGAGAGGACAGCGGCCCATACAACAAATCAAAGAGAGGTAACCAGTGCATTTCTAAGCATACACTTGAAGCAGAAGGGTAATGTTTTTGACAGGGTTTCTCATACGAATGAATGCTAGCAGGGACCAGCTAGCATCATGAAAATGCAACGTTTCTGATAATGAATGAATGATAGCAGGGATCAGTTGGCATTATGAAATGCTGTTGTTTTTGACCACATTTATAATGATAAAGAAATGCTAGTAGGGACCATTTAGCATTAACATTATGAAACATTAACATTAGCAACATGAAAATGCTGGCGAATTTGACAACATTTATGACAAGGAATGGACATTGGCCGGGACTTGTTTGCATTCTAACAATGCTTGAGTTTCTGACAACATTATTGACAACTAATAAACACTAATGTGAACCGGTTACTATTTTACATATGAGATTATGCTAGTGTATTTAGTGCTAGTCATGTTAGAATGTTAAACGTGTCCTTTAAACCTGATATTATTTCTGCTTCAACCTGTAGTCCTCAAAAAGCATGATTGAACTCAGGCTCTTCATCTCTTTATTCTTTTTATATAGGGGGAAGCCGAAAGCAGGAAGAGATGGATCCCATGGATCCTAGTGCCTACTCAGACGCTCCAAGGTAAGAACAGAATTTACTTACATTTATACAGTGTATCTTTTTTTTTATCTGGATTATGTGTTCCCCCTATACTTGTGTTCTCTGGCAATAAAATAAGCAATTTTATGATTTGAATTGATCGTCAATTCAAATCATAGTCGATTTATCTTGTGCGCACAGTTCCATCTGACAGAAAAAAGGTTTTATAAAAGAGGATTTTTGGGGTTCTTCAGTCAGAGATTTACAGCCTTATTGTAGATCAGCACTCTAGTCTGATGTATAACCACTCTTGTATGTTCTGCTGATGTTTGTGTCTACAGAGGCTCGTGGTCCACTGGTCTGCCTAAGCGTAATGAAGCTAAAACAGGAGCAGACACCACAGCAGCAGGACCCCTGTTCCAGCAGAGGCCATACCCCAGCCCTGGAGCCGTGCTGAGGGCCAACGCTGAGCTCACCAGACGTCTGGAGGAGGAGGAAGATGATGACTGAGCAGGAACACAGCAGCCATAGAGCCTTTCTAACAACTCGGGGAGTAATAAATATCAACATGTGGCAATAGAAAACACATACCATTTTTAAAACTATACACATAACTATGATAACTCTGGCTCACAAAAGGGCTGAAAAAAAGTTTATAAAGGCTCTATAGGGTTACTTGCTGTATTAATATGCCACACTTGTAATGGCAACCCCACATATGTCCTGGTTTGATGGTCTCTTGCTGGTATGCCCGATTGACATTCAGTGCATTTGTAAATATACATTGTATTATACATTTTGTAGTAAGACAATGCAGTGCTTCTTTTAACTGTGAATGTTCTGGAAGATATTAATGTAAAAAGGAACTGTTTTATTTCCTGGCAAATTAAACCTTTTTTGCATAAACACAAGTTATAATTTGTATTTTAAGAAAATCTTCAATGTAGGTCATTTGAGTTTTATTATAAAATGGCAGGCAGTATAAGATGAAAGAGCATTACAGCCACTCTGGGACTGGCTCTAGGTTTTTGAACAGAGAGTTGTAGTGTTGCTATTTTTTGAAAACCTTTGTAGAAGCAGTATTAGATTCAGCTTTAAAAACCTACTTTGAATTCTGGTTGATGGGCACAAAAATACAGTAGCTAAAAATATTTCTAAATTACAGTGAAGCATGCTGGCAAATATGTCAGAAAAACTTTGTAGACTAATATACCAAAAAAATGTTATTATTTAGGCGATCCACAATGTATCAGCTGCCAGTACGTTATTTACCAAGAAATGGGAAAATATATTATTTGCGGCCTGATATCGGAATTACGGCCTATAACTACAACCAATAATTTAGCACCCTATTTCCCTTTGCTGCAATACCAGAATGATAATACCACAATAAAAGTCCTTGGGAAAGACTCCTACTACTGAACCCAAACCAGTTGAAAATATAATTGTCCAGGTTACCATAACTTATGTACATTCATGATAGTACTAAAAATATTTATAGATATGGTATAATTTTGCAAGAAATCTTGCAAATGTTTGCAAAAGAATGTTTAACACTCAAATATCTCACCATTGTGTTTGATGACCAAGGACAGTTTATATAAACTTGAATTTTATTATAAAAACATAACAGTGCAGAGATTCTTATGTCACAAATACAAAATCTAAACAGCCTGACTACTACAAATGTCATTTTCCAGATGAGGTGGGCACAGTTTATACAGCTGGCAGAGAAGAATGATCCAGCTCGTCTTTTTTCCCCCCAATATGTAAATATGTGCAGTCTTTCCAGCCAACAATAACATGACCTTAAGAGGACAATCAATGTCCGTGATCAGGGGAGGAAAAGCCTGTTCAGAGTCAGTCACGGTCCAGCACACCATGGCGTAACATCTAACTCAATCAAGTCATGGTTGGAGACTATGCATGACAAGGCGAGACAGCGGTGTGGTCCCTGGTCTGAACAATATGCAACCTGCAACATGTCACACTAGGGCTGTTGGTGATGGGCTGGTTCTGTGTGTTCTGCTGTGCTTCTCAATGGTCTCCACCCACGTAGTGGCAGATAGCGTCATAGTCCAGAGTAAAGATCTGCTCTTCGTAGCGGTCCAACTGCACCATGGCCCGACACTTCTCCTTGTCTCGCTTCAGAATGCGGCCCACCTGCCCCCCACCACACAAACACATTAATCCAGTCACATTCTATTTAAGATAATATGGTAAAATTATAAAAAGTAAATTAATCTTATACCGTTTCAGTATTTACTGAAATATATGCATATATTCATATACTGTACAGGTTACAACTTAAGAGTATAAGGGTGTGGTACCTGTCCTCTGTGTTCACCCAGCACCACCATAATAGAGTCGGCATCACCTTTGGGCACGATGGTTTCTAGCATTGTCTGTTTTACATCTAACAGAAAAAGAGAGGAAACAAACATCTCAAAACATGGCTCAATTTACCAAGTAGTTTCTCAAAGGCCAGACATAAATGTGCTAAATATAAATGTTCCTCACCATCCAGGAGTCGCCCTTCGTCTGTACGACACACACAGACGTGTGGAGTGAGGACATCTTCAATCCTCATCTAAACAGAATAAACAAATCGGAGTTAACCACAGAAAATATCAATCTATATGTATTATATACATTGAGCGGCCAGTTTGTTAGATAGGGACCAATAGTCCCTTTGTGGACCCAGCTGATAATTGTGCAGCAACAGATGGACTGCAGTCAGTAATTGTGATACAAAGTACATCTACATGTTAGGTGATTCTAATATGAAAATATTCAAGGGGTGTAATAAAATGGCAACAGATTATAGAATCTGCATTAACACCACAGCTGTGGATACCAATGACTCTAAGCAAAACTCAGTGGAGTGTTTCACATATACATATATATATATATATATATATATATATATATATATATATATATATATATATATATATATATATAATATATATAGTATATAGTATATGTGTGCATAAACAGTTAGTCCAGTAACATGTATTCAGCATATTTTTAAAAACAATTTGAAATTTCAGATTTGATGCACTGAAACACAGCAGCTAGCAGCAGGAGTGGACGGTACCTTAGAGTTGTAGTATCTGCCTCCTTTGAAGGTTTTATCTATGAATCGCACACGGAGGTCCCTCTGGAGCCAGGAAGGGGCAGGAGGAGAGGTCCGAGACTCTTTCACAGGAGGAGGCTTCTCTCTAATTTGAAGAAAGCTTCAGTGTCACAGTGCCACTCACCAGGTACAAAACCATCACATTCTTTTACAGGCTTAATTAGTTACAGCAGATGTTTCAGGGATGGAATCAAATACCAAAGGTGACCGAGCCTGCTGGACAGCAAGACAGGTGTCTAATTAGAAGCTATTTTTAGCTCAGTTTTTATTTGGATCAGACATATTGTTCATTTTTGCTGTTTACACTGCATTTATTCACCAAAATGAACTGAGAGGCAATTAGAGGCGTCACCTGTCTGCACTTGTTTCCTGGTGTTTTCTCTTCTTCTGGTGGCGCTCTTGCTCTTTCTCTCTCTCCCTCTCTCTTTCCGAGTGCCTATCCTTTCTTCGTTCGTCTCTGCCATTCGAGCTTGACTCTTTCTCCTCCCGCCTCTGCTGCTCTCGGGCTCTCTCTTTCTCTCGCTCCTTTTCTCGTTCTTTCTCTTTCTCCTTTTCCTTGTGTGCTTTGCTGAGGCGACCTGGAAAAGGGAGAGACACAGCATATAAAAATTGAAATAAATGTTAATTAGCCCAAATGTTGCACATTGCAATACGGGCATCACTGAAGGCTGCAATGTGCAAATGAGACTGCTAATCAACCACAATGTTTTTTTTATTGTGTGCTGTGAGCACCTGACAATTCACAAGTGTTTGTGTTTTGATGAATGGAATCCAACAAAACAATGTAATTTAACAAAAGTCAAAATGACACAAACCAATCTTTGATCATGTGTATCACAGGGTGCATCACAATATTTAGTAGTATAATCTCAATACTATTGACTCTCTATTGAGTTTATGGTTAAACACACACGCAAGTGAAAAAAAGAAAAAACAATCTTGATGGAAGAGCTGCCATTTTGATGGACATTAGACGCATGTCTAGGGCAGCCAGCGTGGACTGAAACACTGATTAAAATGGAAGCATATCTGTTCTGGCAGAAAACACTTCACGAATGCGTCCAGCATTATGATGGTTCCCGAACGCAGACAACGTGCTATTCATAGCATTCATGTATTTATAGAATCACAACAAAATCAAAGCAAAGCTTCTTATCAGCAATTGCAAACTCTTTGATATGAGGGCTCTAAACTAGGTCTGTACGTGTATGCTTGTGTAAGTGTTCTCAGAGCAGCTTATGAGAAAAGTGAGCATTCCAGACCATCTTGCTTGCGAACACAAAAATAAAAGATGAAACAATGCTGTTTTGGGTGAAAACAGCAGCTCTCCTGACAACTCAAACAGCATCTGTCATAGTAGAACCAGTTCTACAATAGGAACTCTTTTGACCTTTAACACACTCTCTCCCTCTCTCTCTCCCCAACATTTCAGAACAGTAGTTACCAACTTGGATCTTGGGGCTGCCTCTGCAGTTTCACACTGGAGAGGGTTTAAGCTTGAATGCATCACAAACTGCAGAAAAACTTTGGATACTATTGACTTCAAGTCAGCAACAGCTATGAAGACACAGGGAAAATAAATGTTGCCAACAGCCATGCAATAAGCCAATAATTAGGCCTAGGTTTCTGTTAGCAAAGATTTTCATTTGAGACTGGTCGAAAACATACGACAGGTAATGTTCACACTAGACTATCTCAAAGATTGTTGTTTTTGCACTGATGTAAGACCAGGAAAACTGGTATATATTGGTGGAGTATAAGCTTTAATTACTTGTTACATTAGCCTTGTAGTTCCAGCACAAAACTAACAAAGCCAACTTAAGACACCAAGCATATCTGGGTCTACTGACTATATTTGGGGTAAGACCCCATTGCGTACCTTTGATTTGGAGTCTTTTACATAAAAGCAGTTTTAACAATGGAGATGCCTCAGATATACTGGTGAAAAAAGCCAGAGACTCACTGAGGTCTTTGCTGTATTTGTCATATTCTTTTTGAGGGACTAGGCGTAGAGAGTACTGGCTGATGGTCACTGACTTTCCTCCAATGGCCAGTTTCACCACCACTCTGGCATTGTCTGGATCCACTCCTTCTATCTGAGAAAGAATAAAAGAGAGGGAGAGAGTGGGACAAAAAGAGAGAGAGACAGATTGAATCAGAGAATGCCTTAGGCTACATTTAGACAGTAGAACAAAGTGCTAAAATGAGATTTGCTTTTCATTGGTTCACATTATCAGCATACAATCATTTGTTAAAACAATGGCATGAGTTAAGAATGTATTCTAGACTTGATTTGATAAGATACAACCTCTGGTCATTTATAATACATCTGGAAATATGGGACCAATTCATGCTATGTTGGGAAAATCAGACTGATTACTCAAAAGTAGGCTTAAATGCATGAAAATGATTCCAAATACACCAGTTAAATTCAAAATAAGGGAAGTCTCTGCCTATCTTCGCCTATCTTCAGAGAGTCTGGTGTGTTTCACACCTTACCACAGCCAAGAACCACTACTTTGACAAGCAAAATAACCAACCATAGATTGTTGTTTTTGTATGACATGTATGGGCAGGTAATTTTTAAAATGGGGCTACAACAAAAACACAACCCAGGAAACAAATTGGTATGTGCATCAGCAAACATTTTTCTTTTATTTTCAAACATGAAGCACATATAAAATCCCAAAACTCGCCACTTTTCAGTGGTGTCTGGCTAGACTTTTCAGTCTTTTTTCTCACATGCGAGCTTTTCAGCTCACCAGTCCTTTTGTTGCTGCTGCTGCACGTCCCTCTCTCTGTTTCCTTTCTGCTCATTTTAAAGGCAGCCACGCTGCCAAAGCTGAATCAGCATCAGCTTGCTTTCATTAAAGGCAGGGTGAGCACCTGAGCTGAGAGGAAAAGAGGGTCCGCTGCCCAGCCTCCACTCCGCAGCTCGGTCACCAGACTCAAACATCAAGTCTATTAGAATGGCCTCGCTGTGGGACAGTAGGCAGTGCCTAGGAGGCGGGGCTCCTACCCAGCCCTCGCGGTTGTCATCCTCCCCATTGGGCTGCCTCTGCGCCATGGGTTCAGGCCCCACCTTCCTGCAGGCTCTCATGGCTGCCATCAGAGCCCGGGGGACGGGCGCCTGGCACACATGCGATTACTCTTTTGAGAGCTTCATAGAAAACTCTTCAATAATTTTCATAAATGTGACGCCATGAACTTCACAAACTTAACAATCTATCTACTATATTGATACCTCTGAAAGGCTCACATCATAGTGCGCACAGCAGGCAACTGTTTGGGCAAGTGTGTGTCCCGTTGAGCTGACAAAAATTACTGCATGTAAGTGCGTTTACACAGACGTCAGAATGAAACTGACAAAATCCATATAGTTGGGGATCTTAGCTTTCCACAGATATCAGATGCTCCTGTGTGCATGTGGGTGGCGCATCTGAAGCTGAGACTAACATAAGGGTATCACTATAACAGCTTGCATTTATGGACAGCCATTCTCACCTTTCCATACAGGTCTTTATGGGCTCCACCCTGAACCTGCACACACCCTCCAGGTCCCAGCACCAGCGCCTCATCTTCTTTTCCCCTCTCATCCCCGGGCTTAGGGGGCCGCCGAGGCCCTGAGGGCTCCAGGTCCTTAACAGCAGAGCGATCAGCTCCCAAACCCAGGCCTTTAGGCCTTAACTGGTGTTCTATAGGCTTAACATCTCTAAAAGAAACAGAGAGAGATGAAGAGACATGGGCATGTGACACATAAAGCTATCACTGAGGGAGTAACAAATTATTACTCTTTTAGAAATTACTGAGCCCTTAGAATTGATCACTGGCGATAGCAAAGGCATGTTGTAATTTAATATATACCGACCAGCCTCTTAACACACTCACTGTCCATTTTATCAGCTCCACTGACCATACAGGTCCACTTTGTAGATCTACAATACAGAGTGTAGTCCATCTGTTTCTCTGCATACGTTTTTGGCCCCTTTTTGCCCTGTTCTTCAGTGGTCAGGACCCCCACAGGACCACCACAGAGCAGGTATTAGAGCAGGTACTACTATTGGATGGTGGATCATTCTCAGCACTGCAGTGATACAGACGTGGTGGTGGTGGTGTGTTAGTGTGTGTTGTGCTGGTACAAGTGGATCAGACACAGCAGTACTGCTGGAGTGCACCTTAGTGCCACTGCTGAACTGAGAACAGTCCACCAACCAAAATATCCAGCCAACAGCGTCCTGTGGGCAGCATCCTGTGACCACTGATGAAGGACTAGAGGATGACCAACACAAACTGTGCAGCAACAGATGAGCTATCGTCTCTGACTTTACATCTACAAGGTGGACCAACAAGGTAGGGGTGACAGTGTCACTGCAGTGCTGAGAATGATCCACCACCCAAATAATACCTGCTCTGTTGTGGTCCTGACCATTAAACAACAGTGTGAAAGGAGAATAACAAAGGAAACAAATGGATTACAGTCTGTAACTGTAGAACTACAAAGTGCACCTATATGGTAAGTAGAAGTGATAAAATGGACAAAGAGCATAGATACAAAGTGTACTTACTGAATCGGTGTACTCTTTTAGCTTAAATTCTTTTGAAAAATGTAAATTCTAAGCTTTTAATAGTTACCACATTTGCGTTACGAAACAGAAGAGGAAATATTTTATTAGGATTTGATTGTAATTTGAGTTTTTGTGTATACAGCCTTGTTGTGCAGAAAGAAAAAACATCCTTTACATTTTTGTTATGGTTTTGTAAGTGACATCAAGAGGAAAAAGGGGGCATACATGATACATAATGTAAATATGTAATTATAAATTAAATACTTATGAAATACAAATTGACAACAATAATGCTACTTGGATTTTAAGAGCATAATGAGAGGAACGCACATGCACCTAGCTCACAGTAGCGTGCAATAGATTTGTTCCTAAATACCCTCCTCTCCCAATAAGCTCTTAAACAGAGCAGTCTGCCCTCCTGCTTGTCTGTATGAGCACAGATGTGCTTTACGGGTTTGAGATTAAAAAGGGCATGGACTTGATGCCTCGAACATTTCAATCCCGCCAGCACGCCCATATAATTCCTCACTGAATTTGCGACATGAAAACATAATCTCTTGTCATTACTGCCCCTTCCCTGTATGATTATCCTAATATGAGCATGACGCTGACATGTCACAAGAGGGGTAAACTTTCTTTCTAATGACAGTGGGCTCCTAGTGACAATTTTTCACCTTACCCCAGGCTTCACTGAAAAAGCTACCTAATGCAGAAGAGATGCACATGATATATAACAATATATCATTCATCTAACATACAGGAAATCCATTCAGCACTTTGCAGTCATAGGATTAGTCTATTCTTTGATAGAGGCTTTTAATTGTACAGATTTTGTTTTTCTAAGGTATTATAAGCAAGACTAGCTTACTGTTTGAAGGTGCGACCAATGCCCACTCCCTCCTTCCAGCCCATTCCCTTCAGCATGGCCATTCCATATGCCGTCACTGGCACACGCTCGTAATCTGCCTCTGTGGACTAAAGCAGAGAAAACCAAAAAATATTATTAAGTAGGTTACTATTCTAACGAGATGGGTCTTCTGGACATAATGGCCAGTAAGATGGTTATTCTTTTTCTAACCTCAGGATAAAAAAACAAAAAAAAACAAAACAGAAAACAAATTTAAATGAACATTCTCAAATTATCTTACCAACTAATTATAATACCACATTTTTTCAGTATTTACTGTGTCACCCTCTGCCTTTATTACAGTTTCCATTCTTTTGGGAGATGTGCATTTAGATTTCCAACAAAATCTGCACGAATATATTCACATATTTTTTAGAAGCATTTTCTTACGAGCCAAGGAATCCTAATTACAAATTTAGACTCACCAGTCCATGAAAACCTTACTCTACAACCAAGTTCTGGTCTTTTAGTTCAATTGTTCTTTTTTGTCTATTTCCTTTTCTCAAATTCTGCTTCTGACAGCCACACACCCTTTTGGAAAGATGGACAGAAACATCTGTGGATTTTTCAGATTTGAAGCAAAGTGGAGCTTGATTTTCTCTTCTCTCTCTCTCTCTCTCTCTTGCAAAGATGAAGGCTTTAAGTACTGTTTACCTAATGTTGACAGTTTACTGGATATACGAGATACTATAGAGTACATAAAGCATTAAATGTTACATAGAATGACACAACAACCACATAGTTACCAATTCATAACAAGGCATCGATCAAAATATCGCTTTTCATAAATGGAAATAAATCATACTACATAAATATGAAGATTATAAAGCAATTAACCTATTATGGAAAAGAACTAGCACAGTGGCAGTGATGACTGCTTTTTGCTTATACAACTGCTTTACTTTCTACTCATTTACATAGTATAGTTTCTTTTTTCAATCTGTAAAAACTAAGCCATTTAACTGCTCTCCATGTTTTAGGTGATTGAATGTTTGACGTAAACCTCACCTGGTAATTACTCTCATTAATCGTAGTGCCTGAATAATTAAATGGTGAAACAATATGATTATCACTGGACTTAATACAATGTTATACATCACTGAAACCATTAAGCATCCCATCCTCAACACACACACAATGCTAAACAAACCTACTAATTATAAATACACTTCATCCTGCAGTAGATGTGATAATTTGCCTCCTTACAGAAAGGGTGCAGTTCCCTCTTAATGACTTTCACCACAAAGGAACACAGCTAACACTTCCACTTGCACTGAGCTGAGTAAATGCACAACTGTGATTCTGCGTGTTATGAGACGCAGTATGGAGGAGGAGGTGGAGGTGGGAGAGGGGTCGAGATCGAGAGAGAGAGAGAGAGAGAGAGAGAGAGAGAGAGAGAGAGAGAGAGAATTATGCTGAGTAAGCACTGTGGACCTGGCAGTGGAGTGCTTCATCACTCATTTCATTAAGACACGTCCTTTTCTTCAGAACACAAACGTACGTGCCCCCACAGACACATACACAGACGCACATACACACACATGCCAGTATACACCGTGTTTGGAGGAGCTGTTGCATGTGTACACGATCTTGAATTACCCCCTGCTGACACAGCCATATGCAAATGACTGAACCAGACAGAGCCAAGACCAATACACTATGGACTTGAGCCTCATCGATATGAACATTTTATAATTGCTACTGGAGCTAAAAAATTCAGACAACTGATAATATATAGTCGGCTGATGTAATTTCTGATTCTTTACTGTTAAAACAGTATAAAACAGTAAAAATTTACACTGTAAAACTATTACACTGTATTCTTTTAGTTAAATAGTGATGTTCTGGGTGAGATGTTCTTCAGTTCTCAACTGTCACACTTCTAATACTCACATTCTTCATTCAAGCAATAGAACACGAGAGCCGTAAACGTGGCATTTAATATGTTTTAATGTTAGCAATTCTTCCGCCAAATTATAGTTCCTTAACAAGCAGCGTGTTGTTACCTCAGAGTAACGAACTCCGCTCACTCACTGCACAGCCGGCAATTTGTTCTCCAGCTCCTTACACAGACCAACACATTAAACTCATTTCACACTTAGTTTTTTCGATATTAAAGTTGTTTTGTTCCGGCCAGTCTGTAAAGCATTTTACAGCCCATTTTGTTTGGCGAATGGTATTCGGTTCATTTCTGGTTTAGGTGTTCTTCTGTCTGTTCTTCTCACAGCTGCCGACTGAAAACCTTGCTCAGTGGTAATGGCAGTTTGGGAATTTAGTGTAGTCTCATCTTCAGAGTCTGACCAAATCGGCTGTCGGTCATATATAATCTTAAAAGTGTCCATTTTCTGTTTGTGCGCAAAGTAAGAAGTAAAAATGTTCAAATGGCTTGAGCGTCTCCTACAGCTGTCAAAGCTCCGTCTCAGTGGAGTGATACAGTATCTGCGAAAAACCGGTTAGAATGCTTCTCGACCAATCAGCTTGCGTGGCCAGCACTAACTGTTGTATAAATTAATACAGCACTTGAGCGGAGTGTTCTTTGCAGCTTTGATTTTTATTAATTGCCTCGTATTTTAGCTTTCATTAGTTCTTTCATAGAAAAGATGTGTTAGTGTTATACAATGACATCATGCTAAAAGTTACAATTTGAATAAATGTGTTATACTAACATACTCAGATACCAAGTGATACCAAAGCAAATATCCTGATACCAGTACTGGTATTTTCAAATGGGGAATTCTGTGTGAGCTCTACATTGAAAACCAGCAAAAAAGTGGCCATTAAAACTATACTTGAAAACCTTGAATTAGTATTAAATAAACTGAGACTAAACTGTCCGTTTAGGGAAAGAACCCAATAATCCAAATGATCTGCCATTTTAGAGCATTCAATAATCTCCTGGCTGACTGTGCCTGTGTGTGAGAAGCAGAGGAGGGGGATGTGAAGATTCTCAAAAAGAACTCATTTCTAATAGTTACGCCGCAGCCCAGAAAAATAAAACAAAAAAATGCTAATTACTGAGTTGGCTATATCAGCTGATACTATTGGCCAACTAATCTATTGGCCAGGCTTTACTATGCACTCGTACAGCACAAATAAAGAAGAAAAAAGCCAGAAACAAGTGTCGCATAGAAAGAGCAGTATTGGTGAATAATTACAGGGCCTAATTCACGAAGTTTCTGTATGTTCAGCAGAAATTTAATACTTAAGAATGTGTATTGCACACACTTTGTACTTAAATGTAGTAACAAGTAACATTTCATTTTTAAAGTAATTTAACTAATTATTAATTACATTTAAATCTTCTAAATAGCAGTGTTGTCTTATGTCTCTACTGTTGTACAGATATCTTTACATCTCCATGATCACTTGTGCTAAAAACTGAACAATGCAAACACCGCCAATACAAAATACTGCCTCCACTCACTGACTCTGCCTCCAGATTGTTGATTCTGCAAATGCTGTGGTCTGCAGCCCAATGACTAATTACACAAAGGTTTGAAGGTCAGTAAATTAGTTTCTCATATTTAGGAACTCTAAAAAGAACTCGTTAGCATATGATATTTTCTATATTCTGTATATCAATTAAGGCAACTGTTTTCTTTGTATTGAGCATAAAGATTGCAATCATCGCTGTTACTGTTGTGCTAATGATGGCTACATTTGGCTGTATTTCCTAGACGTTTAACCCTCTTACAATATTCCACATAAACAGGCCTGTCACATTCATGAAATTATAATTGACAAACTGCCATAAAATAACTGTGATTAACAATTCAATTGTCCAGCAAATGACAAACACAACACCAGCTCCAAGACCAGTTAAATAAACATTCTGTACCGCTGCTCTCTAAACGTGTAATAGCAGCAAGTCAGAAGCTGAACTTTCACTGTTTTTTTTTAAGTCTCATGACATGTCTCAATAAATATATTTGAATAATGCATGCAGCATAAACAAATCATTGTGAAAGCTAACATCTGCTCAAATAATAATGGTCAGGCAATTATGTAATAACTGTGACAGGCCTATACATAACACAGACACACAGACATTCTTCTGTCTGGAGATCATATTCACACCATGAATGTCTCATGTCCATAATGTTGAGCCTTTTGTTGCTACAATCAAATTCCAGAATATGCACTGTCTTAAAACGTCTGTCTAGCCTCTATATAAGAAATTCTTCATCTGATCAGTTATCTGAAGCTCAACTCCTCCACTGGTTGCATTCTTCTGGTAAGTAAAGACTGGCTGATCACCCTTCTAGCAGGCTCTCTATAAGACTTGTTTGGCTAAAATCCTTTAAACTTCTTTCCTCCTTTTTCTGACTTACCGACTCAGGTCGAAGGTCCACTTTGACATGGTCGCCGTCCTCAAAGCCCGTCGGGGCCTGGTTCTGCATGAGCAGAGGAATGGACAAGTTCTGGTCGATCTGAGGGCCATTCTTCCATCTTTCCTGCTGCTTCTGAGACTCTGCGGGAGGACAAAAGGGAGTATTCAAGTAACATTCTAGGCATGATTTACAGCATTAAAGTGGTAGTTGAGCAAAAAATTAACATTTCCACAGCAGTAACATCTGCGAAACTAATATACTGAATATTTACAGGACAGACATAGGGCATTTATCCTATGCTGGAAAACTGTGTTTTTCCCAATATAAAGCATTGGCAATTAACATGAAGCTGCAAAATGTAAGTGAAGTAATTCCCACAATAAGTAAGCAGGTTTGACTTGACTGGAATTAGAAGTACACAAGAAATGCCTTCCTATGATATGCAATGCTCTCAGACAAGCCCAAAAGGATACAGAGATAAGAACAAGCATTACTCATATTTATACAGTGACTTAGCTCTGTACCCTGTAGAAACAGACTGACGTGCAGTGTTTTCATCTGGTCATACTGCAGGTATCAAGTTACGTCACTTGACAGAGGTGTTTAGGTGAAAGATGTTCTTGTGGGCTTACAAATGTCAATGGTTGCCCTAAAACAAAAGAGGACTGCCCTTTCACAAGCAAGTATAGTTATAACGAGCAAATAAGAACGTGTCCATACCTTCAATAAGCTCTCTGACAGCCTGAGACTCCACAGAGTCCTGCTCATCAGGCTGAGAGTTTCCTTTCTCGTCTCTCTTGTCACTCTGTTTCGCTCCTTCTTCTCTGTACCAGCGGTTTTTGTGGATGAGCGGAATGATTAGCTCCTTTGGTTTCTCCGCTGGTTTCGTGCTGCACATAATTTAATATAACAGAGGAAAGAAACCGTTAAACCGCAGTCTTTCATTCAAAATCTGGTTAGCAACCGCTAAAGGCTAAAACAACTTTTTATTAGCTTTCACGAATCAGACCAAATATTATGTATTACGTGAACACGTTAAATTATAATCAAAAATAAATCACGTTCATTTTACCATTAGCGAACTTAGCAGCTAACCAGCTAACCGGTACCGTATCTTCAGTACGTTAGGTTGGTTTAGCCAGCTAGCTTGTAGCATTAGCCTACCTCTTCAGCTCCTTGCCTTCGACTTCTATTAAATAATCTCGCTCCTCTGGCTTCTCGGACTTCGCCTTGATTAGCGTTTTACTAAAACCAAAAGAAATTGGACCTGGTTTCGTTTTTCCATCATCTGTCTTTAACGTCTCCGCATTACCCTCGCTTTCTCGTTGCCGCTCCAGCGAGGCCATGTTTGATGAGCGTGGGGTGCTGCTGGGAAATGTAGTCTAATTGGGCAGTTTTTTCCTAACCAGGGAAAGAAAAATAACAATACATTTCCCAGAATGCAACACATTGTGTACGTTCCATGACCGACCACAGATGAACCTTAGGTAAAGCTACATAGCTAGATCACTCAGTGTTGTGCTCATTGGACGGCTGGTACTAGAAATGCAGGGGAACGATTGGCTACTTGCATTATATGCCAGAAATATGTCATTTTTAGCGATACATCGTTTATTTTTGTAAATGAAACTAACATTTCTAAATCTAACTGAGACTTTCAGCTGACATATCTTCATATTATTTGGACGTTTACAATTTGACTGGTAATTAGTCATATATATGAGAGTAGTTTTTGGCAGATGGCAGTAACGTATACATATACAAACGTTCTTTCTGAATCAAACATACGTAGATTAATCCATACCTTATTGCCCCACCCGCGGTTGTCTCATTACTAGAACATCAGTTCTGCGTCCCCTACCACACACCTCCATACTTTAACTTCTGCACTATTTTTACATACTATTTAGTGTGCTAGCATGTGGTTTTGGACACCGTATAGGTGCTGTTTTTCCTTTTATCTGCTTTCTTTTGTTGTGCCGCTACAAACACACATACACAGTTCAAACCCACCTAAAAGATTTAACTCTACAGCCACCAACCTATAAGGTTTAACAGTTAGAAACAGTGTTAATAACATTTCAAATTGAGAGGTTAACACACTATTGTACAGCTGTTCAGGCATTATTCAGCTTTATAAAGCCAACATTCCCCTTAAAGCCAAATTTCCCCTCATAGTTCATTATCGATTACCATTAATCAATAATGATTGTCAATAATAGTGGATAGTGAACATGATCTGTTTCCTGCTGCCATTTGGAAGAAAGGTTCATTAGTATAGATTTATTATTATGTGTTGTAAACATGAGGAGATGAGAACCCAAGATTAATTTCAACTAGCTCTCTTATAGAAAGGTATTACATTGTCACTGAGGTGGCAACCCTCAAGTCATTGCTGTGGTACCTTTAAAGATATGTCTTTAGTACAATTAGGGGAAGCAATTGCTCCATATTCTATTGCATTTATATATATTTTTAAGATGCACTGACATACGTACAGTCTCGACTCTCAGCTTTTTTATGTGCAAATATTCCCCTAGGAAAGTGAAAATAGTGAACCTGTAAAACCTATGACCCTATGACCACTGTACCTCTGAGAGTACGCTGACATTGTTTGTTCCTCGGTGAAGAGAAATGTACCTGTACTGTACCCTTTATGTCTGACAGTGCGAGAGTGATTCATCGAGTGATTCATAAAGTGTGACACTAGAAGACAAGTAGACCTGCTGACCATGAACTACCCTGGAGAGTTTGGCCAAATGTCCACTTCTGCCCCAAGCAATGAGTGCCAAATGTCCCTAACACAATTTTAATCCGGATCATATTAAAAGTGCGTTCACTTTAATTTAACTTTAATTAAGTTACTCTTCGCCTTTTAACCTTCCTTCTCGCTTATCTGTGCATTTTAACGAAACTGCCAAAGTACCTGACGCGTTTTACACTGTAGGGGCGGTTCTTCTCCCTTATTACTTCTTTTCCCTCCCCTCATCCCCCGTCTCTCTCTCCCGGTATCGCTTCTTTATCCTTTTTACGCTTTTGTTTCCCCGTGTCTGGGAGGGATATTCCACACCATGCGGCCGTGAGCACAGCTCTTACCCCGTGGGAGGGTCGCAGGATGCCTCGGCTACTCCGGAGCAGTGAGACCCTCGGGACGTCCCTGACACGGTTCCCCGAGTTTAACATCAACACCTCGCCGCTTTGAGCCGCTTTTTTTCTCCAGCGCCGCCTTCAATATGTAACCCTCCACCTTCCACAGTGGAGAAAATCCGTCAAACTGGAGAGTTAAATTACGCCCGGGGAGGGGGGAGACACCATGCTGAGGAGGGACGGGGAACTGAAGGTAAGGTTGCGATACGAATGTCTCTGTGAAAGTGTGAAAGTCAGTCGATAAGCTGTTGACAGAATGATAACCTGATGTTAAAGCTGCATCCTTCAGCGGTTTCGACGTGTTTCATTGTTGTTTAACGTTACGGTGTCCAAAACGCCACATCGCCTCGGACTGTCTCCGTTTATCGAAGAGTCTCGACCGTTTTTGTGTCAAACCGCTATCGCTTTTTTTCCTCCTGTCACAGATCACTGCTGCTCTCGTGCTCAGCTGGCTAACGTCCCTCTCTGAGCATCTCTCTGAGCTCGCGCTCAGTTCTGTGGCGTTTAAAAGTTCTCAGCGGTCGTTTTCAGGCAGTCTGCCGTTGAACCGTTTCTTCTGGCGAACATTTATTTTATGTTTTGTGTATTTTTTGTAAAAAAGATTTTTTAAAAATCGCTTTTCGTCTTTTGGCCGTTTAGGGGTCAAGTCTAGTTCGAGGTCAATGTATATAGACGCGTTTAAACGGGCTCTTTTTGAACGGCTGAACTGCTTGAGGAGAATGTGTGTGTGTCAGAGGCCACGCAGGTGAGTTTTAATATAAATACTGGTATTGGGTGTGTGTGTGTGTGTGTCAAAGTGAATGTGGGTGTGTGAGAGAGTAAGATGGCAGTGGCAGATATCTAAACTCACAGATATGTAGAGGCTAAACTAGGCTAATACTTCACTTTTCTCAAATAAAAGTGAGGCCACGCTCATCTGTAACTAGCATACAACTGTTCATCTATTTAACGCAACTGAACGTTGAAGGGGAGCTCCGCGGAATTTTCAAAATTTCTGTATAATTCAGTCACTGAGATGTAAACAAAGTCAATTGGCGTAGTTTGATGTGAAATACTCCGTTCTGGGGAAACTTACCGAGTCAGAATAGTTTATAGTGGTAGTGACAGGATACGTCCAAAGAGTTTAATGCCTCTAAAAGCTAGCTACATAACAGAAAATATTACACTTGAGTAAGATGAGTAAGAATATCCTGCCTTGTGCCTGAGGCATTGTTTTGCGATAGTTGTGAGGTAAGCTTTTGGTCTTAAGTGTATTTTACATATATATCCATGACGAAGAGGTACAGCCAGGGCGTCATAAAGCAAAATACCTATCAGATTTTATTTTACCATTATTTTACCATGATCAGCGATTTTGTACAGCTGAACTGCTGAGGAGAATGTGTCAGAGACCATGCAGGTGAGTTTTAATTTAAATACTGGTATTGGGTATGTGTGTGTTTGTTTGTCAAAGTGAATGAGGGTGTGTGAGAGAGTAAGATGGCAGTGGTAGATAACTAAAATGACTGATATGTGAAGGCTGTACTAGTAAAGCACTTCACATTTCTCAAATAAATGTGAGGTAACATAATATCTGTTTAATGCAACTGAATATTGAAGAGAAATTTCATTGAGTTTTCTAAATTTCTTTATAATTAAAACATTGAGATGTAAACAAAAGTCATAAAAATGCATAGGTTCACTGGTCATTTTGGGTATTAAATAAAATGGCTATATTTGCCATCACAAAAGAATAGTATAAAGACATCAGTATGTTTTTCTACAATGAATCATTTCACATCAGACCACTCTGAATGACTTTGTTTACATCTTAATAATTCAACTGTCTGTATCCATACATTCAAAAAATGATGTAATTTCCATTTGAGTTGAATGTACAGAATTCCACTAAATGTAATTCTAATCATAAACCTGACCGTAACTTCAACACAAAACTTAATCCTAAACTTAAAACCAACCTTAACTTAAACTTTAATCCAAAACCTAACCCTGACTTTAACTTCAACTCAAAACCTAAACCAGACCCTAGCTTTAACTTAATTCCTAAACCTAATCTAAAACCAGACCCTAACATTATTGATAATCAAGTTTCACTAGATAGTTTTTTAAACAATTAACGCATCTGCAGATCATCTCTAGGGGATTCTTCATATAAAGTGTGACAGGGAGTGACTTTTAAACTACTTTCAGTCATGTAACTAAACCTCACTGCTTAAATGTCTTTTTTTTCAGTGTAATACATTGTTATATATTAGTGCATAGTCTTATTATGGACAGATATCTCTAATGGAAAGGAAAGTTATTTACATATAAAAAAGTACAACAAAAAACAGTTGTTTGTTGTACGTTTAGCATTAAAGGACACTTAGGTTAAGGTTTCTGTTTGGTTTGGAGACTAGTTTAGTGGTTGTGTGGTTCTGGGCACATGCAGGGTTAGGAATGTAAGGGAATACTCAGAATATGTGTAGAAAATACAGAAATAAAGTATCTGTATTGAGTCCACATTACATTTTCAGATTAAGTATTCATAATACAGTTTTTTCACCGTTTTTGGAGAAAACCTTTAAAATACATATTCAGTAAATAAAAAAAAACAATCTTATTAGAAACACCATTATTACTTGTTTATTAACAATCTTAAAATACGTGCCTGGTGTGACTCTGAACTCTAAAGCTCTTTACAAACACTGAAGTTCCTGCTAAAGCCTGAGTAGACTGATAAATCAATGTGATGAGCCAGTTATTATTCTTAGCGTTACTGAGCTCTTTTGAGGGATGGCTGAACTGGACAGTCTCCTCAGTTGTGGACATGTTTGCAAGTGTTAGCCTGAGCATTGGTGTTGTACTTTACTCATGCATGCATTTCATGGCATAGTGTTACATGTCATTAACTGAAAATCACGTGTGATTTATCAAATTGTGTTCCAAATGGATTCTACATACATTGAATACATCAAGAACAAACTATTCCGTATTTGGTTATCAAGCTATCACTACTTTTTGAAAGTATTCAGTTCAACTGAGGTCATGTGTGTGTGAATGTGTTACTACTTTCATGTCCAGCATTCATTGCCCTTACATTATCATCATCATCAGGTGTGAGAGCTATCTGGATTTCCCAAGTGAGTGATTTCTGTGAGCTTTTATTTCCGCATCACTTGGTAATTGATGTGTATCAGGTGTGTATGTATGGAGAACATGTATAAACATAGCTATTATGTGTGTCTTAAGGGGACTTGTCTTGTGAGTACAAGTGTGATGTTCTTGTGTGTCACTTATCTTTGTGTGTATTTATGTTTTTAGGAATACTACTATTTCATTGCTAAGTTTTGGTTGGAAACAAAGAGTTAACTTCTTGGAATGCCCAACAGAAAACTGTCCAATCAGGATTTTTTCCTTTTAGTTTTAGCTAAGTAGATACAGCCAAGCAAGCTCTCCCATTGGTCTTCAGGAACTAGACTGGAGGCTTCACACATTGGATTAACTACCAACATAATTAGGAAGTGACAGTGGAATCAACCAATCATGTTGTGATTTCCAATGGGTGGGGCCAATTTAGTGGGCAAAAACATCACTCTAGGCCTTCTGGAAGTCTTAGACGTGTCACTGACTGTGAATCTGAAATATGAAACCAATGAATTTCAGTCAGATGTTATACATGGGAAACAGCAGCTTCACAGAAAAATTTAGTTAAAAAGGCATTTTTAGAACCAACTTTATGAAAGTAACCTACTTGAGAAGAGAATTTATTTGAAATCCATGCCTTCGTGATTGACTAGTTCATAGTTCAAAAAAATACAGAACATTTTTGATTTATAGGTCCCCACAAGTAAATAGATAAAGTTTTAAAAATAAAATTTTATTTTTTTAAATGACAAAAAAGAAAGAAAGAGTCCAAAAGATTCCCTTTGAATCTTGAGGTTAAGGTTGTGGTTGGGTTAGGTGTAGGCTGAGCATTATTCAGGTACAGTAATACAGAAAGACAGGAATACAAACATGTGTGTGTGTGTGTATGACGCAAGGTGTGTCCTGTCCTGTACTGAAGTGATGAATGCTGTGACCCTGACTTTACTATGTGTTGCAGTAGGCTCTCGAAGCAGTCAAGGTTACACTACTATTATGAGTCATTTATTAAGTATGGCAATGAGAGAGAAATAAAGATACAGGGTGATAAACAAAGAGAGGATTAGAAAAAGAAAAGATGGAGGGAAGGACTTGATCTATCATGACACCCAGGATAAGCTTGTATCCGTCTTTGACAGTCACAGTGTCTAATGCTGCATCTGTGAGCGTGCACTCATGGATGTCCATATTGTTGCTGTCATATTAAAACCTTGTAACTCCATATTTTTATACTGATTGTCATTTTAAAAACACAGCCACCCTATACACTTTGTTTTGACAAATTGACTAATAGAAGTGGTTCAAAATACTTGAAATATAAAATTGTTACATTAATTTAAATTAAAAGTTTAGAATTTTTTTTCTTTTCCTGTAAAGCTACCGTTTCAGAGATACAAGGTTTTGTTATAACATCATGTGTAATTTTGCTCTTTTCCATTCTCTAATCCTCTTAATTTCTGACATTAGACCAATTCCTTCTGACATCAGACCAATTGCTGACCAATTAGTCCTAAAGCCTCTTATTGTAGTCAGCTGGCTGTTGCACAGTGTGATCTTCATTTGGGCTGATATGATAACTGAGGGTTCGCTGATGAGACCATACAGATTGCCTGCTTTAGTTCAGCCTACAGAGTTCATGTGTTTTGCCTGCTCATTAATTGTCTGATCATATGCAGGGCGCACGCTTCACCTTCATACATATTCAAGGAGATGTGGTGGAGGTGTGATGGGAGAGAGAGCCGGGTAGAGAGACGAGAGAGAGAGAGTAAGATGGTGGGATAACGGGCTGCAGTTTATCCTTGACAGAATAGGGCAGAGATCCGCTGACAATTCTCCATCTGTGAGTTCTCTCCGGATTGTCTGCTTTGTTATTGTTTGCTCATATCTCTTTTATTCAAGGCCACTATTTTATACTCTTTGCTATCCTGAAGGAATCAATTACTATGTTTGCGTGCATACCAGTAGTTCGATATTAGTCTCAAACTAGACAACCTATGTAGTTTAAGATATGACCATGTAAACAGCTCAGTTCAGTTCTCATGATCTTACTAATGTTGATCTAAGGTTAGT